CGGGCCCCCAGGTCAGCGTTGCGCGTCCCAATCCAGCCCCGAAAAAATTATACACGGGGCTGTTATCACACAGGTGTGCCACGTGGAACTGGACAGCGTTCACCTTACACTAGAAAATTTTGCTAAACAGCGACGCTGAGTTCTATTTGAAGGCAGCCCGCTCCTGATGGTTTTGTGCGACGCTGTAAAACGAACCAAAGATGCCGGAGATAAGAAAACAGCAAAAGACCAGCAGATAACCTAAACGGCGTGTTCAGCGGGCCAGCCGAGGCGGCCCTGGACCAAAACGGAGCCATTAACGAGCAGCGGAGACACTGTGGGTGCGGTACAAGTGCGCGAGTCCCACTTCTCGCGCCCTTTTGTTGAGCGGCGCGTATGGGAACTTGTTGCCGCCATTGTCCGCGGCCAGCCGGGGCGGGGCGGTGGCCAGGGCGGCCCGATGCCTAAAAAAACAACAACAGAGACACAACGGCCGAGCGCCAGCCCCGGCCAGCCCCATCGCCGTGTAGTGCGGTGGCGAGCACTCCTCACAACGTGCCAAGCACTACGTGGGACTTGGTTACGAGAACCGCCGCGCCGCGCGCAAGGAGTAGTTGTTTGAATTATTTCACCCCTTTTCTTCTCCTGCTTCTTCTTTTGGGCGGGAAAACACACACTGGCAGGTTGCATCACAACATGGAGTGCGTATGGTTTACGCGCCGAACCTCCAGTGCGTTGTGAGACTATTGGAAGTAGTCGGCGCCTGGAATGGATCTGTCTGTCCCCTCGGGGTGGCCAGCGTGGCCTTGCCCAGCGCGCTGTCGCCCGCACTGGGGTCGGCTATTCTAGGCCGCGGCGCTGGGTCGTCTATTTTGTCGCTGCAACGGTGACGCGCGAAAAAGGCGCAAAGGTTTGCTAGTGATCTTCGCACCCTGCCGGCCCTGCGGAGAGTCACCCACAGCCTAACCTCCACACGGCGGGCGTTACGCAATTTGTGCACGCCGCTTAGTGGCGGGAATGGATTTACAAATGGCAGCGACACGGCAGGCCAGCGGCAGGCCGGCAAAAAGCTCATCCTCGCATCCATCAGCTTTCTCCCGCCGCATTGACAACATGCTAACGACGACGCGTGCCGGGCGGTGCCGGGGTGTGGCCTGTCCGGGCCTGTCGGACAACAAGGGACGGCGGCGTCGGCATCGAGCAAGACGGACTTCGGACGCGGCGCTTCTGCAGCGCGCGTTGCCTGCCCTGCAGGGCGCCATGTGTGGCGACTGCCCTTCGCTTGCGTCACGCGCACACAGCAGGTGAAGCCCGCTGCGCTCATGATGACGGCCTCCTTGACGGATCGTTTGATGTCCGCCCGGGCCGCAGTTAGGCCCCGTGCTGACGACGTGCATAGTGCGGGGGGCGTGCCCGGGCCTGGCCCCGCGCTCCGCTCTCCGCGCTCGGCAGTCAGCCCCGGGGTGGGCCAACTTTGAGGCAAGATTTAATGAGAATGGGAGTCTGTGCGCGGGCACTCATGCGCGCCGGGTCACACTCGCACACGCCCACATGCGCGGCGAAGGGCAGGTGCGGTGCTTGTGGCTTCTCGTGGGCGCCGCCGGGGCGACGACGGCACTGCCAGCCATCTGCAGCCTGGCCTGCATGGCCTGCACAGTGTAGTCCCACCGCGAGGATGCAGTTATCCGTGGCAGGGCGCCGTCGGGGTGAGCCTGGCCGTTCCACGAGCAACTCTGCCACCATCCGGAACACGGTTTACGAGGAAAAGCCAACAGAGCAGAGTGCGCCGGAGTGCCATGTTGGGCATACTGCTGGCGCGGTGGGGGTGAACAGCCCGCCCAGCCCGGGCGGCGTGGCCGAGGCGTAGCGTTATATGCGCGTTTTAGTGGCGACTGTAGCGTCGCGCGTCTCCGACAGTCTCCCGACGGACGGTCTCTCGACGCGCCGACAAGCGATGAGAAGCGCGGTGGGGATGTGCGGTCGGGGATCCGGAAATTTATCGTGCTCCGCGAGCGAGCTACACGTCTGGGCGGCAAAGTTTACGACAGAAAGGATTTGTCGCACGCAGAAGGTTTCGGTTGCTTTGAGGGGGGCCGTCGCAGTGAGAGAGGGGGGAGGGCACCACTCTGACTTCCCAGCAGGCAGGCTGAGCCCTACGCGTGATGGTCTTGGTGCCCTTCGCCGCACCGCAACACTCGTCACGCTACGGCAACAATTTGGAGAACAAACACTGCAGAAGTCGATCGGGGCTACGCGGATGGATGAGTTGGAACCCGGAAAGAAATGCCCGAGTGGCCACCGTTTAAAAATTGAACGCAGCCAAGCGGTGACCAGTCATGCCCATAAAAACGTGTCGGCAGGAACGACATGTGACTTGTGCTTATGCTGGCGACAACTTGTTACCGAACGCGCTTTGGCGCTTTTTCTGACTCACGACTGACGAGGCACCCCGCGGAGTGACCTTTGTGCTCGCACTCCATAAAGGTTTTACGCTGCAATGCCAATAAAGACCTGTCCAATCGAAATTCCCCTCTCTCGTGGACCGGCGCGATGGCCCCGACCAGGCAGGTACACCCAGGACCAAAATCAACAGGCGGGATTGGTAAATGCTCGGACGAACACAGGGCTTTGCGGCCGCGTGTCATACGCGAGTTGAAACCACGAAAATAAAAAAGAAACTCGTTCAGTGGTGTCCCTGTTTCTCTTTTGTTTCAGTATGAAAGCAACGTTTTGGTTTACATGTGAGAGCACCTCCCATTTTAATCTTCCGGGCATGCTCCGCTCGAGCCTGGATCATCCTTCGGCTGAAGTGCCGCGCGCGTTGACGTCGGGTTATTGGGCGTGGAAATGGCATCCTCTTGGTTTTTCTAAGTTTGTCTTCTGAATAGTAAAGCTGGTTCAGAAATGACAGTGCCTTGAGTAAAATGAGAAATGTATTGTTCCACACCCCCGCTGCTGACAAACTCGCACCACACCGGCCATATATAAAAGCCAGCCGCCGTGACAGATGTCTGCGCCTCTGGCGAGCCTCTGGCGCCAAGGCGCGGCGCAGCGGGGCGGGACGGACGGCGGGTCGGCGGTGGTGTGCTTTCAAAATCCCTGGCCGCTAGTTAGAATCATGAGCTGTGGGAGTGTGGCATCTACACGGGTTGCGAAAGGCGATAAAGCTCCCCGTCACCGTGACACCGAAGTGACGTCGGCGAGGTGCAGAAGGGCACCGAAGGGCACCGGGGTGACTGACGAGATCGACACGCGACGAGATGGAAGTGGCCTGTCGGAAGCGGCCCACCTCAACCCGCCGCGCGCCGTTCTGCGGCTTTTGATGACATCTTCATAATGTGGCCGCCATTCGTCATCCGCGTAACAGCGGCCTATCGGGGCGCCGCCGTGACCGCATAGGCGCCACGCGACGAGGACGACGACGAGGACGACGATGAGGAGAAAGCGGGGACGGGACGCGTGCTCCGGATAGCGGCGGCGCGCGGGAAGCCGGCTTATTTCAAACGGCTTGGAGGTGCCGTCGCGCGTGCGTGCAGGTCTCCGACTCCCCGAACAGACGCCCGCACGGGCCCCGCACGGGCAGGCGCTGGGGACAATGATCCTACCACAGTCTTCAAAAGTCAAGCACTTGCCGATGGATCGCCCTCCAAACGAGGAATCCATCGGTGCCCCATGTGTGTGGCCCAAGTCCCATTCAAGGACAACGGCGCCACAAACGCGTGCGTTGTCGAGTGCCAGGCCCGCGGCGCTCCAAACTTTCTTCCCGGTGATTGTGGATGATGTGATGAGCGCACTAATGAAACACGCCTCCGGTTTGAGTGAGTGATGCGATGGGTCAACCTCCGGATCAACTGATGGCACTAATTATGACCGCCGGGCCAAACAAAGTGCACCCTCACTGCGAAGCAGCGCGCGGCAAAACGAAGCGAGGAGGGCCTCCCACGGGAAAGCGCTGCCAGCGGTCCATCTCTCACTTGTCTGCCATCGCCGAGCATCGCGGCGAGGAAGCGCTTGCCGTGCTGTGGCGCCCCGACGCCTACCGCGGTTTTCCAAGGTGACCTACATTTCCCTGGGGTGACCTACATTTGCTGCAGGCGCCGTGCTTCTTCCTCGTCTGGATCGTCCGGACGCATCACACATTCTTGCGGTGCGGTGCTGCACTTAATATCGACGGCCGCCCTCGCCTGCGACGCGAGCGACTCCAGCGCGCAGCCATGGCGCAGCCTTCACCCTGGCCGCCCCGTACCGGAAGTCGCGTCTCCGGCGGCTAAAGTGGGGACGCGTCCCCGCATCCGATGACGACATTTCTCATTTGTCGCGACCCCGAGCCCCGTGCTGGGTAGGCCGCCAGCCGCCACGCGCGGCACGGGCGTGTTGCGGGACGGCCTACCCCGCCAGGGGCTCACGGAGGCGAAGTGAAGGCCGCCCTGCCGCGACCGATGGGTCGGCCGATGGGCGCCATCACTTACACGTCACCCTCGCCAGAAGAAGGCCCGCCGGCCGGCCTGCCGCTGTCATGGCAACGGATGCGCCTCTCCTTTCCAGAATCCTGAGGGGCTCGTCCGCTCTCCCACGCCTTGCCCTAGCGGCCCTACAATGTGCAGCCGCCGCCAAGGTCTCGAGATGGCGGTCCTAAGTGGCACGTTGCCGTCGACGAAGAGGTTCGAACGCCGCGCGCTACGCCGCCGCGCCGTGCCCCGCGACGCACGGCCCGCCGTCCGTAGCCTCGCGGCGGGCCTGCAGCACTTTCACCGCGGTGCAGCGCCAGGCCGCGCCGCGACGGCGTCGTGCCACGCTGGCGGCTGCAGTCGGTGACCAGGGCGCCAGCGTCCCGCGGAGGTAGGCTGCCGCGGAGGTGGCCGGCGCCCTAGCCCCCACCAAGGACGACCGCGGCGGTGGTGGAGGCACCCCCACCGTACCTCTTCCCCAGGACCTCTTCCCTCTCCGGCCGGTCCCCGCGGTCCGCGGCCGAGGGTATATAACGGAGGCACCGTGGTGTGGACGGACGCCGCCATAGTCCCTCCTACATCTTAGCTCTGTGCCGCTCGTCTGGGCTGGTGCAGTTGTGTGAACAGTGCAGTGCGTGTGTGCGTGTGTGTGAGAGTGTCCTGGATGCCACCTGTGGACTAACGACGAGAGCAGCGACAACACCACCTGCAGCACGTGTATACATCTTGGACAACAACTGCCCGGCGCCAGGCGAGCGCTAGCCATGAGGTGGACAATCCCTCTGGTGAGTTGACCATCCATGGAAGTGGACCCCAGGGTCGCGTCACCGACGCCTTCGCACTGGAGGGTGGGAACGGGAGTCTTGCCTGTCCTTTTCGTGTCTTCTTCTCACTGGCTAATGGTGCCGAACCCGGTCTCGTTTGACCCCAGGTCACGTGGCTTGTAATTTGTCTCCGACTGATGAGACCAATTACCCGCGATGTGTCTAGCGGTCGCACTGTCATTATCGTATCACTAGCCGGCTCGGCTCGCGCGGTCAGCGGCGTTCACTGGCCATGCAGCCACGTCCGGTTTTGCATATCCTGCGGAATCCCACAGTCATAACCGCATGATAATAGCATGCTTTCATCCTCTACATCCGATGTACCGCTGCATATCTGTGTGTGTGTGTGTGAGTGTGTGTAGCACGTGTGGTCCGCCTGCTGCAGCAACACGCCGGATTACACTTTCACAAAGGTGCGGCGCTAGATGTGAGGATGTTTCCATAAATAAAAGGCGTTTGGGAAAGCGCTCTCACGCGCGCCCACGCCGCATGACACATCGTTGGCGAAACGGGCGTAATCAATTCCCCGCAATCACGTCCCCCTTGCCTCGGCGACGGCGGCGACGCGGATCGGAGAGGGAAGCAGGAAAGCGGTGGCTTGGCGGCCCAGCATCCGCACGGTAGCTGCATTTATTGTAATCAGAGGGAACGCAATCCAAGGGCCCGTAGGGCTGGCTGGGCTGGCTGGGCTGGCTGGCTGCAGGGCCGCCGGCGGTCGCGGGCTTTCACGCATCGCTAGCGACTGCGCCGACTGCGCAACGCGACGGGACTCGAGCAGGCCGAGTCGCGGCGCGCAAATTTATTTTGAAACTTCCGTGCCGAACGAACAGGCCGAACAGGCCACTTCCTCCACACCGAGCGTGACTCGCCGCTCGGATTCAATGACCACCTCCGCAGGGCGAGCCAGTCTGCCTCGTGTGCGCAGACACGGGTCCGGGGGACATGTACGAACCGCAGTAACGAGTTGCAGAGGGCTGGGTCCTTGTCGAGTGGTCTAGGGGGTTTGACTCGCAGTCCAAGGTTCGCGGTTCGATCCCACCATGCTCCTTGTCTTTTCGTGTCATTTCATGACCTACAGATGAGCGTACGAAATTGGCGTGTGGGGCGGAGGGCCTTGGCGGGGACCAGAACATCATCTGGCCTTTCCCTTCCCGCAGTCTGATGACAGCAGCGACGATCCAAGACGGGGTTCCCGTAACGCGCATTGCGTCCTTGATCGGGGGCCCGTCGCGCCGGTCCTGTGGCTGCGGGGAGCTGCGGGGTCAGTCTCCAGGAACCAAATCGCACGACAGCGACCGCGGTGACCCGGTTCGCGGAGAATGGCAAGGAAAGTGGACGGGTCAGCCTCGTCGCGTCGGGATGGCCAGGGCGACCCAGCCGGTCAAGGTTTCGGCAGTGTGGTCTGCGTGACCGCGGCGCTCACCGCGACATGGTCACCGCGCAAACCGAATGCCCGAACGGTGGCGGTATTGACCTTAAACACCGCACTGGCCGTCTGAAGGCGGTGACGACCCGCGGCCCCGGGCTGGGCCTTGCTCCACTGCCGGCGTTTCCTCAGCGTCGCCTCAGTGCCGCTGGCCGGCGAGGTGACGACTCCGAATCACGCAGCGTTAGGCAAGGCAGCCCAGCCTCGGCCCTAGCTTCGCGCCGGGGGGCGGCACATGGTTTTGTGCCGTATGTCTGGAAGGACAGAGTCGTGACGCCTTACGACTTGCCAGCTCGTAATGCAACTTAAATGAGCCGCCGGAATCTCGCGTTGCCACGGCGGCCCCAACGGCCCCGCAGCGCAACGGAGAGGACGCGCAGCTGCGCCCGCCCAGCCTTGCCCCGCCCCGCTGGAGCCCGCAGCCCACCTCGCGGGTCACAGCACGTTTCCGATTTCCAGCCACTCTGGAGAATGATTGCCGGGCCGTGGGAAAACAATTTTCAATCATTTTCAATCAGTCCGGTGTGCGAGTTATTTTGTTTTTGAATTCCCGTGAATGTTGCTGATGATTGAGTTTCAGTCAGAATTGTATGTGCCTGTGTTATTTTTCTCGGCTATCTTACCCCATTTTTAAATCTCTGTAGAATTGTTAAAATACGTTTATAAACTTCTTTTAGCATTCATAAAATTACGCAAGGAATTTTTTTTAGCCATTCTTAATTAACGTCATCCAAGTTGGTTTTGCCCAGGCTCATTTCAACCAGTAAATTCCTCATACTTGTTTTATTTTTACATGATTTTTCCGTCAAAGAGGCGCGCTGCTCTCGCCTGCATAGAGACATTACGCGGGGTCGCATTCAGGCGGCGACAACGGCACCGGAAAGGCCAAAAGTGGGAAGGCAGACAGACAGACATACAGACAGGCAGACCGGCGGCCAGGCAGGCGGCCGGTAGCAGCAGACAGCTTTATTGTGAGAGAGCCCCGTTTGGCACCTCGCTATCGCTCACTCTATCTCTTTCCATTCATTATGGCGTCGCGTTTGTCTTCACCTTTCTTTCTTTATTGTGCGTCAAGCGCGCAGCGCTGCACCGAGCTCAAAAATGTCAGAGCCATCAGCAAAGCGCTTCCGAACTTTGCAGGACTCTCTGCGCTTTCTAACAAGTCGAGAAAAGCAGCTTTTAAGAGATGTTTGAAAAACTTGGCTGTGAAAATGGCGCGCTCCTCTTGACAACGAATCCGGCTCGGTTGGCCTCGGTGGCTGAGCACGCCCTGGAGACTCGCTCTTCGCGCAGGGTGAAGGGCGACTAAGGGGCCCTGAGGCCGGGCAGGGCCCCGCGCGACGCGCATGAGCCGCGGGGCCTCGGCTCTGCCCGCTCCGTCCCGCCGCCGTGCCGAGTTCACTCGTTTTTCGCATGACGCAATGACCGTGCGAAATAAGCGAATTATTTTCAGGCGTGGCCTGGCCGCGGAGATACACATCTGCCGGAGGCTGGGACGCGCAGGCGCCCTTGTTCTTGTTGTTTGTGACAGTGCCCTGCATGTGCATATCCGCACGCGGGCCCTTGTTCTTGTTGTTTGTGACAGTGCATGTGCATATCCGCAGACGGTCCGCGCACTGTCTTGCGCAAGCTTATCGCGACCATCTCGACAAGGTATGCGCGCTGTCCGTGATCACTCTGTTTAGCCTAAACTACAGTGGGGTCGCACGCGCTCGTCGGCCTGCGCCGAGGTGCACTCGTTGGAGCCGAGACCAGTTCTGCGCCGGCGATCGCGCTCCAGGTGAAAAGGAGGGGGAGGGGGAATCAGTGTCTGACTAATCGGGCTGGGCGCCACCGGGTTACGCTCACGCGAGTCGCGACCCGTGACTGCCGCGCTGCTGCGCCGTGGTCGCGTGGCGATGCACGCTCGTCGTGCGCTCCACTGAGTGCTGCTCGAACGCCAATCCTGGCGCGAGTGGCTGGCAGCTCATTAGCGCCACGGATTTGCTGCACTTTGTGAAACAGCGCGTTGGGCGCGGCGCGCCGTGTGAGCGAGAGGGGAGGTGGCGGCACTTCCTCGCGGAGGACGCGGACCTTCGTCCGGGTCAGGTGGGACGCGTTCAGGCAAAGCGCCCGTCGAAATGGAAAATGGTTAGCTGCGTTTGCTCCGCCCACACTTGGATGTTCATGGTCAGTAGTATGTGTGGGTAACTGTCACCCGCCGCCATTTTGGTTCCCCATCGGCCCCATTTCCTTGCTAACCTGTTCTAAGGGGTCTTCAAAATGGATTCAAAATAAACATGGGAACGATGAACCGACGTTGGACCAAAGAATCTATTGTCACTCTGACGGGTTTGAACCAAGTCTTATAACCCGAAGAAAATCCGGGCGAAAAAGTGATGTCCGCCGAAACTGATTCCACGGCCGACTGTGCGTCGGTGCGGCGTCGGGTTTGTTCCGGAAGCATGTCTGTCTAGCCTGGACGCGCCGTGGGTGTTCCGGTGGCGGCGCGTCGGCCGCTCGGAGAAATGCAGGCTAGAGCAGCGTCTGCCCCCTCCAGGCCTTCCAGGCCGCGCCGTGCCGCGCCACGCAAGAAGACGCGGACATTGAAAGAAAAGGGCACGGAGGCGTCGCGGGACGAGCGGAGAAAATGACGGAGCGCAACGCGTGCGGCGGTGCGGCGGGTTACTACTGCCAGGCCCTTTGGCGGCACGCTGAGCCCCGACACCGGCCCGGCCCGCCTCGAACCCGGCGAACCACAAACGGGCCTTCCTCTGGCGCGAGGGTGGCCTCAGCGCGCTGCCGCCCGGCCCGACAACACCGTGTTAGAGCCAGGTTTGGCGCGTAAAGCTAGCGCTGCACGAGTGAGTAAATGGCTGCCCTGGTCGAGGCGTTGCGGCGCCGCACGGCGCTAGGGAGCTCGCCAGAGACGGCGGATTTGGGGCCACGCCCCGCACGCCTCAGCCCGGTCGGGCTACATTGATGTGGTCCAGTTTATTATGAAAAGAAAAACCAGCCCAGCAGCAAAAGGTGCTCACACAAATAAATACCCCAAGCCTCATTTTGATGATTTGAAAGTTTGTTTATTTTTTTGGTAGATGAAAAACGTTCTTGTCAGTTCAGTTCTCTTTAGTGACAGGCTGCTTTATTCTGAAATTGAAGTGTCCCGTTTTCCTCCTGGGCCACACGTGCCTGCCAAGGCCGAAGTCCTCCCCACCCCACCCCGTTGGTTCGCGCTGTCTAGTCCCTTCAAACTTGTATAACCCGCGCCAGTCTGCCAGACAGGCGTGTGGGGCACAGTGAGGCAGGAACTGAAAGAAATTAAAAATGCATCCCAGGCTTTGGTGCGCTGCACCGGCTCTGGCGTGCGCATGGGCGTGGGGACAAAGAGGGAAGTGACCCATACGCGGATTCGCGAAATTGTTCTTTTTTGTTCCTCTCTTTTCCTTTTTAAAAGTCGTGTTTCCTCTTCCTTTTACTTTGTTTTTGTCCACAACGTGTGATGAAACAGAGAGAGAAATGCGAGCCCAGCACCGACTGCGCGCCCGTCAACGCGCTAATCCAGTTTAATCACACGGGCTATCCCGCGCGTGGCTGTACGCAAATAGTATTTAATTTCTTTTTGTCTCTTGATTACTCTTTTTCTACACCTGTCCGAGTTTGCATCGATGGAGCCAGGCGGGTAGACACTCCTGCCCGTACCAACCTGGGACATGAAGCGGTGCTCTCCGGTGGGGCGGCGGGTCAACATGCGTGCACACGCCGTTTGCTTACCAGGCGAGCGCGTGTGTGCGTCTGTGTGTGAAATGTCACAAATCGAGGATGGGGCAATGTTGACTTGTGAGTCTCTCTGGCCGGTGCAAGGGCTGGCCTGGCTTTGTCTTCGCGTCGTGCCTGCCGAGGCCCTGCACGCCCCGCGCCAAATTACGACACGCCAGGGCCGCCACACAACGCCCTGCCGTCCAGGGTCCGGGCTAGGCGCAGGTCAAACACGGCGCGTGCAAAGTGGTCCTGTCTTCCGGGCCGGAGCCAGAGACACAGAAGCAGAAGAGCCAATTTGGGCCGCCAGCCGGAATCAGGCGAAGAGGCGCGACCTCCGCCGAGGAGGCCAAGTAGTGCTTATTTGGCGCGTTGCCACTGCCAGGCGGAGGACTCATTACCGTGGTCCTGGCGGCCACCTCGTGCTCCAGGCCCCGGGACAGACGTCTGCGGCCCGCCTTGGGCCCGCCCCGTGCGAGACGAGGTCGAACGTTGATGAGAAAGAAAGTACCTCGTGCGATACACGCCACTGTCGGCGTCGCGCGGCCTCGGACAGACGCATTGTCGGCGGGCCGCTCCTGGGAGCGCCGCGCCACGCCACGCGGCGATCGCCCGCCGGCCGCCCTGCCCCGTGCATAACACGTGTCCGAGGCGATAGCGATCTCGAGGGCCAGAAGCAGCCGTGGGGCGGTCACGGCCAGGATGCCACTAACGGCCCGAAACGGAGACACCGCTTGACAGGCTCTCGCACTTAACCTGACCTGTCCGAAGCACGGACGTCCCCGTCGCCCTCCCCGCTTGCCACTCCACTCCGCTAGCTGGGCCACTGGTTGACGGCGCCGTTGTTTCCCGGCTGTTGCTTCGGAGAGGAAATGGTCTGGAAAATGGAGTCGGCAAGAGCGCGCCGCCAAGACTCATTGGCGTGGGAAATCCGGACGCTATGGCGCAGGGATGGCGGCAGATTCAAAGTGGCTAATGGAACGGCATTAACTAACACCGCTCAACTAATACAAATTTTCTTTTTTGAATCATTACTTTTTCCACATTTCGGGTTTGTAAACCAACAAGTCGCTCGTAAATAAATGAGACTTGCTCTGTGCCACGTTAAAGTTAGTGAATTTTGCAACGATCTCCCTCGCTCCAGGAAAGAGTTTCCCGAACAACTTAAGTCTGGCCCGGCGCCGTGACCTAACCGACGCGCCGTGTTCGGCCAAACAGAATAATTCCAACAGTACTTTAGCGTGCCCGTCTCTCTCGCGCTCCGGGAGAGACAGAGCCACGCCGGCACTCTGTTAGCTGCGCGGTGCGTGGGGCTCTTTTTCGGGTGGTGCGTCTGTCTTGGGCGCCGCCGAGCCCGGAAGCCCCAAAGAAAGAAGGAAAAGGTCACCGAATCTTAATTCACTGCAGGCTGTTACGCACCGCCCGCACGACGGGACGCTGCTGATCACCGCAACGTGATGCTCATGACGGCACGGCCCTTTTTGCGCGTCTAGGTGGCGGTGCGCCACGCCGCGCCACGCCACGCCGTGCCACGCCAACCCCGTCATCAGGCTGGTGCAGCGGATGTAATCACGGGCCATAGAGTTCCCGGCGGGAGGAGCGGGGGACCCTACTGGGTTCGGCTGCCGTGAAAAGACGCCGATAGAAAGCCAACAACATTTCGAACTGTCGAAACCTTTTCTCTCTCTCTCTCTCTCCCCTTCTCTCTCTCTCTCTCTCTCTCTCTCTCTCTCTCTCTCTCTCTCTCTCTCTCTCTCTCTCTCTCTCTCTCTCTCTGTGCGAAGCTGGCAGTGCGGGGCCAGTCGGTGCGGGGAAGTTGGTGGTGGTGGGAGAAGCCGCGATGCTCTGAGTGTTGTTTCATTTTCTCCAATTATTCCAGTGTTGGTGCCGCTGGGAGCGCGGCGCGCGGCCAGGGAACGGATTGCAACGACGATGGGAGAGACGCTAATGCAGTTTGCTCGTTTGCAGGTGGCCATATGGGCGGCCCTCGTGGCCGTGGACGCGTGGAGCGAGCCCGAGCAGCGGTCGCACCACAAGCGGGACGGTGAGTGCATCGATTTGTCGTCTTCTTGAATCACTTTGGCAGTCGCCTGATGTATTTTTAACATTACAATAATTATCAGGGATGTTAAAACAAAAGATACTAGATTCAACAAAGCGCTTACATGTCTGCACGACACGGACGAAACAAGATAGGAACGGAAACGGACAACCAACTCTTCTAGAACACAAACATAGCAGAGGAGATGAACAATAAGGGGACCTTTTTACTACTGCGTCGACTCGAACAAAAAACCTAACGTGGTGGGTTTTCCAGTTTCCGAGCTGCTCGGCAAGGGGTACAACTACCCTCGCCAGTCACAGCAGTCTAGCGGCAACCAGGTCAACGAACTAGTCAGGGAGTACAGGGAGGCCATCAAGCCTTACCAAGGTAAACGCAACGCGCATGACTAACAAAGTCACGGGGACCGTTTTAACATTCATTCTTTAACCATTTGCACCCACTGCATCACGAAAAAAAAGAAACAGGGGAAGAGTACAAGGTGATAGATCAAAAAGTTCAGGAGAGCGGAAGGACATTGACTGGACAGGCGGATTGTGCGTTTGCAAAAGCGCGCAGGGAAGTCCCCCTAAAAACTACATCCGCTTATCCAGACTCATCTTTTAGCTTTCTCCGGCATTTTTTTCGTCCTCATTCATTCTTCCCGCTGGCACCGACGCGCATGACAGCGTAACATCTAATAATGCAGAATGCGCATGCTACTAACCCGGCGGAGCTCCACACCGTAACAAAAAACAATTAACCATGCACACACTTGCACCCCGGGCATGGCGACACGCAAGGTGTTCACAACAATACCTGCTTCTTCCGCCGGAAACAGGAGGAAAATTGCCGGAAATTCGTAGTTTTATTCACTCAAGGAAATTCGATTGATTCAATTTTTAACTGGACCCTAGTGGCGATCGGTCCGTAGATCCGTTTCCCGCCGATCACTGGACGAGTCTCCGCCGCCGTTTCCTGATTTTCATTCCCTCTTCAAATTGATCCTGGAAGTTGCCTGGGCTCTGCATGACGGGTCGCCACGCCTCCGCGTTGCTGGTGGAAGTGGCTTGAAAGGAGTGGGAAAGGTGGGGGAAGGGGGGGGGCACCTGGCGCGACACGGCCGCCTCTGGCCCGCCGGGTTAGCTCCAGTTGGGTGGGTCAGGAACGGGACGGAACGGGACGGAACGGGACCCATCTCTGCGTTACGTCACCGCCGACGTACGTTTGCTGTCGGCACTGTCGGCGCCGTGTCGAGCCGGCTAGCCGGGTTGCATTTTGTTCAAAGCTGGGCTTTTCCATATTTCACCGTCACAAAGTCACAAGGCAGCGGCGTGCTGTTCCATTATCACTCGCCCATTTGCTGCTGCCTTTGCGACACGGTTTGGCCGGTTTGGCTGTGACTGCGGCTTTAAGGCGGATCTACGCGTAACCGCCTTCCCCTGCTCCCCCGCGCCCGGGACGGCTCTGCGGTTTCCACCACACTGGCTCCAGCCGGCTCCAGCCGTTCCATAGCTCCGGGCCGCCACCTTTTCCAGGCTCGCTCCAGCGGGACCGATACCGCGGTTGTTTGCAAACCGCACGCATCACCGATCGGAAACAAAACAAACATAAAAATGGTGTCGTTTTGTTTGGAACTCGCTGTGAATGGGACGGGTGCTTTGGTCTGCACGTGTGGTGCTCGGCAAGTGCGGGGCGCGCGCGCTGGGCGTGGCACTGCCAAGTACGCACGTACCAGTCGTTGCGGAAACAGGCCATCGGGGCGTTCGGGTCGTTACGAGACTGTGGGGGCGGGCGGGGGCCTCCACCTCAGCATGCCGGCCCATCGATTTGACATCCAGGGCTCTTTTTTCTCTGTAAGTGGGTCCGTGACCTCGGTGCCGATCGCCCTGCGGTAGAAATAAACATTTCTCTCATGCGGCCTCGTGTTTGCCCTATTTTTTTAATGTGTTCCCTTTTTCTCCTTCTCGCGTACCTCTTGCTCCTCGGAAACCTGACATCGCGTCCCGCCACTCTTCCGCTGCTGCCAATAACATTCTCCCATTCTTCCGCTCTCCGGCGCGGCGCCGAGGCAGCGCCCGGTAACGTTTCCACGCTCAGAGGAATAAAAAAGTGGTCCGTCTAATTCGAGTTCGCCTGCCTTACGCCCCCACGTATCAGGGCGGCCGGCAACAATAGCACACGATTGCGCAACAATGCGCGCTGCATGCGCAAGCAATTACCAGAGATGCGGCATCGCAGGCACCGCAGTGTAGCGGCAGTGCAACAATGACAGGCCCGGCCCGTGATGAGCGCCGAGATGCAGCGGCCACACTGTCAGACTGCCTGCCAGACGGCCCGGCTGTGAGCAAACGAGACGCCTCATCGCCTTTTTGCCTCGTTTGCTTGCTCTCTGCTGTTTGAGATGCTGCAGGCAAAGCCGGCCAAAGCCGGCCAAAGCGCGACAATGCTGGAGCAGACGGGCATGGCGCGGAGTCACTGGAAGTCACTGCCGCCAGCGTTTAATTCAGAGCGATGCTCCATACAAAGCGACGCAATTACCGCGGGCACGGTGCGAGGATCATAATCTTAGGTTGTCGATTTCTGGAAGGAGGACTTTAAAAACAAGATTAAGAAATGGGTGAAACAAAAAAGTTGGCACGGAATGGGACTGTTTCACCGAACTCACGGACTACACCGCATCTTACTTCCCCCTCCACCCCCCCCTTTCTCTCGCTTTTTCCAATAGACGTAGTACGTGTGGGTGTGGGGACCTGCCCGACCTGCCACCTCGGCTCATTGTTGGACGCTCAATCACCAGCCGGCACGTCGGGGGGCGCCATTCACGTCAGAGGCTTCACGCCGACCACCCCGAGCACGCCGAAGGCTGCTAGACGTCTTGATTATGCGCACCGAGAGGCCAGAGGGGAGCGTGCATACACTGCGAGTAGGGGGCATTCGACAGCCGGGCTAAAACCTGTCTTGCACTTGGTTGGTGATTTTCCCGGCGTGTGGGAGTAAGCGCGTGCGTGCGTGCTGGCCGCGCAGTGACTGTGCCGTACTAAACACATGTGGTTTCCGACTTCCACTCGATTTTCCCCCACCCTCCCCGCACCGTGACCACTGTGGCCGGACCACAGGGAGCACCCCTCCCTCTCCAGCCTCCCCTCCCCTCCGGATGCACTGTACCTCCACAGCCACCGCCGACCGTTGCCATGGCGACGGCCTTATGACTCTGACCGAGGGCCCGAAGTTCGAATCTGCCGCTCCTGAAACTTGGTGATAATGATTGTCCGCTCTCAATTAAGGAACCCTCCCGCCCGCTCCGTTTTGCTCCTTGTTGCCCTGCTCCTCGTCGTTTGAAAACGCCCCCACAGTGTCGCGGCCGGGCGAGGACAGGAGCCGCTTGAAAGGAGGGGCCGTCAAAATCGCCTAGCTGTGGCTGCGCTGGGCCGCGCCGGGCTGCGCGCATCGCGTGAGAAATCTGGACGGTCGAGGTAAAAGTGGGCCTCTGGCGCCGCGGGCACAAAGGCGAAAAAGGCAAAAAATAGGCTGCTGCCGCGGCGGGGAGGGGGCGGGGGGTCAGCGCGGCACGCAACGACAAGGTCGGAGGGCGAAGGGCGCACGGCGCGCCAAAATTCAAAACGGGAATAATGCTTGGCGAAAACGGGGCGCCGTGATAGGCCCGCCAAGGGTGAGGTGGCCAACTGCCTGCGGCGTTCCCTCCGCCAATCACAGTGACGCAACGTGCAGAGCGATGCCGCGTTGTGAGAATGCGGTTGTTTTGCTAGGAATTAAGGGCGCTAGGTGGAAGCGCGCGCGGACCGGCGGTGTCGGTGAAGAGGCCCTGATGATGACGTGTCCATATCATTGTATTGTGCCTTCTGGGATGCAGCGGGGCGCGAACTGACGAATTTAACCACGAGCGTGCGACAGCTGTCGCTAGCGACACAGCGCGGCAGCCAGGATGGAGCGCTGCGCGCGCTGCGGTGCTGCCGTTGCGTCATGGAGGCCGTGGAGGCCCTGCGCGTCGAGGCCCCGCGCGTCGCCGAGTCTGTCGTGCAGACAAATTAATCCCTGAGGAACGCTCGGCGCGTCGGTTCGGTCGGAGAAAGCCTAGCGCATGCCGCCTTGCCGCGCCACGCCGCGATGCCGCCCGGACGAACACACGTCACTGACTGACGCGGAGCCTTCCTTGTTGCAGTGGGTGGCTTCGGCGGCTCTGGCGGCTACAGCAACGCCGGGTCCTCGTCGTCCTCCAACAGCTTCGGGGGCAGCATCGCCTACAGCACGCTGGAGGGCAACTCCTACGACTACCAGCCGCCCCAGCAGCCTCAGCAGCCTCAGCAGCCGCAGCAGGGCTACAACGCACCCGCGCCACAGCCGAACTACCAGGCGCCACAGCAAAGCTACCAAGCGCCTCAGCAGCCCTCCAGAGACTACGGCGCCCCGTCCATCACGCCTTCCATCCCTATCGCCTCCTTCACGATCCCCGCCAGCAGGCCCTCGCCGCCAGCCACCAGCTACGGCGTACCCGACGCCCCTGCCCCGGTGCCCTCTCGCCCTAACACCTCGTACGGAGCCCCCGCCCCTGCGCCCCAGCCCAGCTACCAGGCCCCCGCTCCTCAACCCAGCTATCAGGCACCAGCCCCTCAACCCAGCTATCAGGCTCCCGCTCCTCAGCCGAGCTATCAAGCTCCTGCTCCCCAGCCTAGCTACCAGGCACCCCAGCAACCCTCCAGTGGGTACGGAACACCCGCCGCACCCCAGCCTAGTTTCCAGACCCCTGCCCCACAACCCAGCTACCAGGCACCCGCACCCCAACAGCCATCCAGCGGCTATGGTGCCCCGGCCCCCCAGCCCAGCTACCAGGCCCCGGCTCCTCAGCCCAGCTACCAGGCCCCGGCACCTCAACCCAGCTACCAGGCGCCACAGCCCAGCTACCAAGCGCCACAGCCAAGCTACCAAGCGCCCGCTCCGCAGCCCAGCTACCAAGCTCCGCAGACGCCTTCCTCTGGTTACGGCCCGCCTTCAAGGCCCCAGCCGCCCTCCACAAGCTATGGCACCCCAGTGCAGCAGACCTACTCGGCGCCTGCCCCACGGCCGCAGCCCAGACCCCAGCCGCCATCGACCAGCTACGGCACTCCGACCCAGAGCTACTCGCCGCCCAGGCCCCAACAGAACTACGGCGCCCCCGCGCCCAGGCCTGCGCCCCAGCCCACCTACCAGCCTCCCCCACAGCAGCCTTCTAGTGGCTACGGTGCTCCGGCCCCAGCTCCTCAGCCGAGCTACCAACCACCCCCTCAGCGTCCTTCCAGCAGCTACGGTGCTCCGGCCCCAGCCCCTCAGCCCAGCTACCAACCACCTCCACAGCGTCCCTCAAGCAACTATGGTACTCCCGCACCCCAGCCCAGCTACCAGCCGCCTCCTCAAAGGCCATCCACCAACTACGGCGCTCCTGCTCCCCAGCCCAACTACCAGCCACCCCGCCCGTCCAGCAACTACGGGGCACCCTCTCCTCAGCCTCAGCGCCCGTCTTCCAACTACGGTGCCCCTTCACCCCAGCCGCAGCGCCCCTCTAGCGGCTACGGCGCTCCGGCTCCTCAGCCCAGCTACCAGCCACCTCCACCCAGGCCGGCCAGCAGCTACGGTGCCCCCGCTCCACAGCCCAGCTACCAAGCCCCAGCCCCGCAGAGGCCGTCCAGCAGCTATGGTGCCCCCGCGCCCCAGCCCAGCTACCAGTCCCCGGCCCCACAGCGACCCTCCAGCAGCTACGGCGCCCCTGCACCCCAGCCCCAGAGGCCGTCTAACAGCTACGGTGCCCCCGCGCCACAACCCAGCTACCAGGCGCCTGCACCGCAGCCTAGCTACCAGGCTCCGGCTCCTCAGCCTAGCTACCAAGCCCCAGCCCCGCAGCCGTCTCAGAGTTACGGAGCGCCTTCGAACGTGCCAGCGACAATCCCACAGAAGTATGACAGTCAGGGAGGCTACGTTTTCTAAACAAACAGATATCGATCACCCACCGTTAATGTATTTTTATTTTTGTAAATATGTAAATGACGAAATCTTTGTAAGTTCTTCAGCTATTACAACCTTTGCTACTTTGTTGTCAAGTGTTTTCTACAACCTACGTGTTTTTCGAACTTCGATTAAAATTTGCTCATTCTAAGTAATTATTTTTTGAAAGCTCGTGCTTATGAAAGATGCCAACGTTTGTTGTTGTTTCTCGTGGTAGTGTCTGTGCGCCTGCTTCGTTTTTGATACGCTTATTTTGACATGACGAAGGTAGCCTCAATCACTAGACTGACGGGTGTTTGACAAATCGTTACCAAGGCCAGTTTGGCCGATCGTAGTTACCATAATGACTCGGCTGCGGCCAGTATCTCTTTCCTAATTTATAAATGAGTAATGTTAAATATCAGTTGATGGTGTGAATGTGTGTGCGAGTGGTATGTCCTGTGAACATGTTGCGAAAAGTTACCAGAATTTTTACCTTGTGGAGATGAAATATTTTGTAATAAAAATGCTTCAAATCAGGTTGTGTCTTTACTAATTCCCGAGGTACTGGGTTACTCCGTTCTAAAATGAAATAACCAGAGAGATCGGTTTTCCGAACTTTATTTTACAATTGACTTTCACTGCCTAGTCATAAAACTAATTCATTTGTTTTTATTGCAACGAGCGCAATAATTTAACGCTCACTTTACAATGTCTAATAATGACTTATTTTCATATACATAAATATACACAGGAATACACAAATATAACAATTTCCAACAATGCAGCACTTACTGAAAAATTGAAACGAGAGAGTCATTCCACGGCATGTTGCCAGTAGGCATTGCGTCGTAAGTAGTTCTAATACACACATAATAAATTAATCTGTCTGCAGGGGTAGTTCAACTACAGTCCCAGCATTTCACTTACTACGATATGTATAATCAAGGATACGTAATGGGTCTGTTTATCTAGCGTTTTACAAAGCGTTTATCACACAGAACCATAAAGCCGAGAAACATTTATTTCTCGCATAACAAGAGGCACTACCTGGGGCGGGTGAAAGGTACAAGATACAAGGCGGTATGTGCGTTCTTTCGACCGTCCGAATGATCCCCTTCGCGGCTACACTTCTACATTTTTCACTTATATCTGTAGCTGTTGAACTCATTTTCTAAAAATATTATTCTTGAGGTCCATGGTAGCTCCGTCCCCTGAGACCCACTGTTTTTAGGCCCTGCAATACGTGTTGCTTTAGGCCCCTTTCCCTTGCTTGTCCTTCTCCAGGGCCTCTGTTGACTCAGTCAGAACGAGGACGGAAACATTTCGTATTCAGTAAGCAGATTTTAAACTGACTGAACGAAATTTCCGTTCACAAACCTGACTAGGAACACGATCAAACCTTAAAATTTCGATTTATATGTTTTTGCCGAATACTGGTAAGCCTTCGTCAGGGCTGGAAGCATTGTTTTACCCGGTGAAACTTCTTGTCGCACGATGGCACTGGTCTGCCGTTCTGTTTGGGCGCTCCAGAGCGGCACGCTCGGAATCACTGGTAAAGTCGAACTTTGTGTGGTACACCGCAAACAAACATGGGCCGATCTACAAAACCTTTTCGAGAAAAAGAATCCGCGGATAGGAAAGGCAAGGTAAAGTGAGTTACAAACAACCGCTTGACAAGCGTAGTTAGAAACGTAGCCAGTCGACAATGGAGCTCGACTCGGCGGTCCCCTCCCAGCGCTCTACGGCCTTATACATAGAGGATACCATATTAATACTGAGAATAGATTCAAACGCGCACTCGAGGGAGGCGAGCGAGACGGTTGTATATTTTGGGCGGCAGAGAAAGGGCTTTTACACCAGTACCAGTAACAAAATTCGTACTATATCAACAAAGTTCACTCTAGACGTAAATAATATTCTCAATAATAGATTCACACGTAGAATTAAAATATTGCATAAATACTCTATTTTTTTTCTTCATAACAACGCACGCGTTTAAACAAAAATACAGACGAACAACAACAACAACATCAACAACGGCATTTGTCTACACTCGATCAACGAGTCGAACTCTACCAAACATTGATTATCACTCAAATTTATATCTGCAGACATGGCGCAAACGAGTGAAAACACAGCCTTCGTATTCATCCCCTGCCCTCGCAGCACAATCCCACTCCCCATGGCGCACCTCGCCAAGGTGGCCGTCGACTCCACACGCCCCTCACGCGTCAAAAAAAGAAGAAAGTTGGCGAGAGGGCCAGACAGCCGGACTAGTTATTTACATCCCTTACCAAAATATACCGATTCAATTTCAGCCGAAAAACATCGCGTGCCAAATCGAGTACGAAGGAGCGGGCGCCCGGTGGCAGGCAACCCATTCGGCACCTGCCTTCGCGACGGCGCAGTCTGCACCGCGCCTCACTCGGGCTGCCCCTTCCTCGCCTCCACGCACCCACAGTCAATTTCAAAAACGCCTGGAATTCGAACCGAACCGTCCTAATTTGAACCTGCCTCCAAATAAGTAACAACGCATAATACAGCTTTTATATACTTTCTGCGCATCACTCTCATATAGTTTTATATATATTTTAAGTCTATCAGACAAAAAAATAATGTACGTTCTAAGTAGTCGTGATGTAAGCTATCCTACACATCAATAGGTATCTCAGCCTTATCTGCTAGGTTGACGTGTACACAGTGCAAATTCATCTGCGCGAAACTCCAGGGGAGCCGAGCCAGGTAGCAGGGTGATGCCCGCCACAGAAACAGCTACTGATAATTTGAACAAAAAATATTGAGCTGTTTCTTTGTTTTTTTTCGAAACGTTGTTTTATGTTATTGGCGTCGTCACCCACTGCCGTATATGTACTCTATTAAAAGCGACTAACACGTCAAAAGCATCCGCTATATTCGTGGATGCCAGGTGCCTACTGCACCGCCACAACACAGCGTCGTCTCAGGAAACATTCTAGCCACACTTTTACCAAAATCTAGTAAAACAAACCAAGTTGCTGATTCCGTAAATTTTCTTCTGAAGTAACCGAAAACGGGAAAACTCTTTAAAAAAATAGTGGAGATACAGTCTAGGTTTGGTCATATTACTGAGAGAAACGCTCTGCAAATAAAAACGTTGTTTCAAATAATGTCACTTTTAGAACCCTAATGTAAAATTGAAGTATACAGATTACATGGAGAAACGCACTGACTCGTGTTGTCGAACCACATAAAGTATATGCAATACAGTTGAAACGTCAGAAAAACTTGAGTACGATTTACTGACGTTTCGTAAGTATACTGCTCCGCAGCAGAGCTAAATTTAATTTGCGGCCAATGCGACCTTTATAGTCTATTCGACTTTTGGCGTCGCTCTGGGGCAAACCACCACAAACGAAACCAAATTTTTAAAAGCCTGTTATGCAGCAGCTAATTTAATTTCTACGATTGGAGCATCGCTAACGGCGCAGTTCAGCGACAAACCTCGTTGATCAACAACACAAAGTGAAAAAACAAAAACAAAACGAAAGAAATGACCCCGAGTAGATATAGGTACTACGGTACAGAGATTGAGCACAGAGTGCGTTTACAATAACCCCCTCAAGCTTACGAAGCCATTTTGTACTTTTTGCAGACCCACGGGGGCCGGCCCGTGGGCGTTTCCTCGTCGTTCGGAAGACGCTTTTTCCATCTACAAGCAGGCCGCAAAGGCCTAGAAGCCGGTGTCGCCGCGCGGCCCGGACGGTGCGGGCACCACGCCACCGGGCACGTTGCCGCGACCGCCGCCGCCCCGGGACCCCTTGCGCAGCATCTCCAGCTCCGTGGCGTCGCCGTCGTCGTCCAGGTCCAGGGCCGGGTTGAAGCGGCCGTTGCGCTCGTCGGGGCCCACCATGGTGGCGGCGCCGTACATCTGCCCCATGGCGCCCGTCGTCATCATGGACAGCTCGCCCTCCAGCGGCTCGCCCACGCGCTGCGCGTCCTCCGGGATGTTGACCACGCACTTGAACAGGTCGTAGCCCGGCGCCAGGCGGCCTTCCTCGAACAGCCACCTGCGGAGAGCGGTCTGTTAGCAAGCAGCGGGGCAGTTTGACAATCCGAGACGCTGGACGGGGCTTACTTGGACAGGCGGGTGACGCTGTACAGCGTGAGGAGGGACAGCAGCATGGCCAAGGTGCGGAACGGGAACAGCTGCTTCTGGTTCTCCTCGTCCCAGCCGGGGAAGTGGATCCAGGCGGGGAAGCCCATGATGGGCTCGCCGCCCGACAGCCGCACCACCAGCGCCACGATGTACGCCACCAGCGACCCGTACGTGTTGCAGTGGTGCGGGAAGTGCACCACCATGAGCAGCTGCGGGAACAGGATCACGTACACCAAGTCGGAGCACATGGACCTGCAGCAGAAAAAACGAATCAGAGCAGTGTTTTTCATAGTGTCGAATCTCAATGAAGCAGGGTGCGTCACCTACCACAATCCGTAGATGGAGGGGATGGTGAGGGCCATGACAGTCGCCATCACGCCGACCACTAAGATGCCTACTCGCATCACCCAGATGATTTCCATTTCGGAAGCCTGCAACAATAGTCCCGGGTTTACTCTAGTCACACATTTCCGAGCCAACCCTCGCACATTTTCCTCCTAACTTTCACTTGCTACAAAATTCATATTCGGACGTTTTTTAAAGCCTACGCACCCGCTGCCTGAAGATGAGCTTGTACACGTTCCGGGCGAACATGGAGCTGGCCGAGAGCACCGAGGAGTCCGCAGACGACATGACGGCCGCGGACACGGCCCCCAGCCCGAAGAAGGACACGAAGTCGGGCGTGAGGTACTGCAGCACCATGGGCAGGATCATGGCCGTCTCGGACTCCGTGAGCGGCCACGGCCCGCTGTACCCGGTCTCGTTCCAGGCTGCCGGAAAAGCACAAGTTCGTCACGTTCTTCCTCAAGGCCGCGCGTTATCGGGGCGGTGCGGTTCGTGGCGGCAACTTACGCGTGGCCTTGGCGATGGCGCCGATCATGACCGGGGGGATGGCCATGCCGAAGCAGCCGATGGCCGCCACGTACGACAGCACCTGCGCCCTGGAGGCCGTCTTGCTGGACAGCACGCGCTGGAAGTACACCTGCCAGGGGATGCCGCCGAAGATGAGCAGCAGCCCGTAGTCGATGTACGAGGGGATGTCCTTGCCGTCCACGTGCCCGATCCAGTCGTGCTCCACGTCCTTCAGGGAGCCCACGATGGGGTTCATCATGGCGAACGGGATGCACATCCACTGCAAAAGGGAGCAGCAGTGTCACTTTTTTTTGGCAGCGTAGTGGGGTGTGTGAAGAAGTCAACTCGCGAGGGGCACACGCGATGCCGGGGTATTCTCAGCCCTCGCGTGACCGACGTGAACCGCGCGGCTCATTACCTCCGCGCGCCAATCGAAGTGCCACGCACTCTCTCTCTCTCTCTCTCTCTCTCTCTCTCTCTCTCTCTCTCTCTCTCTCTCTCTCTCTCTCTCTCTCGCACTCACCAGGCCGATGAAGATGCAGAAGAGCTGGATGACGTCGGTGTAGGCGACGCTGTACAGGCCGCCGAACAGCGTGTAGAGCACGGCGATGCAGGCCGACAGGATGACTGACGTGGACTGCTCCATGTTGATGATGACGGAGAGCGTGGCTCCTGTGGCAGAGGCAGCCAAAGCGAGGCGGTCAAAGGGGGTTCGGTCAAAGGGGGCTCGGTGCGTTGTTTTTGTGTGCGTGTCTCTGTTTACCTAGCGCCGCTAGGATGCCTGCCGCCCAGAACACCTCCCCGCACAGGGCGGGCAGGAACAGGAGCCCGCCCATCCTGGAGCCGAACGAGTCCTGCAGCGGGTCCAGCATGGTGACGTAGCCCTGCGCCCGCATCTGGTTTGCGAAGAACAGCCCGCCTGGAACAAAGAAGGTTTCGTCGCACTACGCGCTCCTTTCCGCATTTCGGCGGGAATCGACGACGCAGGCACTCACCGAAGACGAGGCTGAGGGCGTAGCCGAAGGGCGCCTGGCACCACACCAGGCCGTGGCTGTAGATGGCCTCGGCCGTGCCGTTGATGTAGCCCCCGCCGACCCAGGTCGCTGCAAACACAACACAGTCAGCCACCTGTTCACTCTTGTTAGCAGAGAGACGGTCCGGGTGCGAGAGAGACCGCTTGACGCCCTTCCAACGCCCGGGGAGCAGCGTGGGATTTGGGTTAGATGAGGAAGGACGGGGCGAGGCGTTTGGTAGTCAAGCACAAAGCAACTCCTGCTGAAAGATCCACGCGTGCCAAGTTCCGAGAACAGCCCCCGCACTTGGACCGCCACCGCCGTGGAGCCCCTGGAGGCCCGAGAGCTCCACCTCGCCACCCCAGTGGGGTCCCCACCCCACGCTACCGCTCGCCAAGCCAGACACCGACAAATGGCGGGGAACGGGTCGGAAAGCCAGGTAATCTCCAGCCAGCTTCCGGCGGCCTCGGAGGCTGCAGCGACCTGCCACGGCTGGAGGCTCGAAGGCCACCGTCGAGGTTCCCCTCAAAGAAAGGTCCTCTCTTGTGGCGGCTGAGGAACATGGTGGCTCGGGTGCTCCACCCCGCCCCGCCCCACCCCGCCCTGCCTCACTGCGGAGAAAAGGCGTTCCACAGCTCGGATCGCATCTCGTGGGTGGGTCCCGTATCATCTTGCACACTCAAAGGCCTTCTTCTGCTTGAATGGGGGGTGGGGCTGCCTGCCTGGCTGGCCTGGCTCCAGTGACGGCTGGCCCCGTTTCTGCTAAGCGATGGCCTTGCCAGCCCCAGAATGAGCCCCATGGGGATGGCAATGTCTGCAAGAAGGTGTCACGTGACGGTCGCCCCCTCCCACTCCTCCTCGTCATCGTGACGGCGCCGCCTAAACGTTTCCAGTGATCCAACCCCCGCACAAGTGGCCTTGAAGGCCAGTGCAGGGGGACTCTGAAAGGTCTTCGCCTGTACCGTGTTCTAGAAAAGATCTTGAATGAACCACTTGGTGATTTAGTACCAACATTCGAGTCCCTTCTTCAAACTACGGACCGTCAACACAGCCCTCCAAACCAGCGGATCCACTCTACAAAAAATGTCCTGTCAACGCCGTTAATTTATTACCAATGTTTGCTGTTATGCAATTCACGGCGTTTGCTGTGAACTAGTTCACGGCGTTCACTGTGTTCTCAGTTACAGTGTTCACTGTGATCTGGCCACAGTAAACGCCGTGAATTGGAGCCTGATTTGCAGTACGTCGGTGCTCAGCGACGTCATCCTCACAGTGTTTACTGGGGACCAGATCACAGTGAACACCGTGAACAAAATCACAGTGAATCCCGTGAGCAGATCACAGTAAACGCTGTGAATTGACCTACAGTGAAAACTGGTAATAAATTAACGGCATTTACAGGACATTTTTGGTAGAGTGTCGCTTTCGTTCCTCTGTCTCTCTCGCACCTGTGCGGAACGAGTTCCTAGGTGCGAGAGAGACAGAGCGGCGAGGTGCTGTTCGTGGCTGTGCGGGGGGAGCGAGAGGGAGCGCCTCCGACATGGCAGGGCGGGCCCGAAAGGCAGACGATCATTTGTGGTCCAGCCATTAATGGCAATCGTAATCGCAATCGCCTTGCGGGCGGGCCGCCCCGTCGAGCGGCCGTGCGTTGCGGCACAGCCTACCCCGCGGTCCGCAGGCGTCAGGCGGGTGCGGACCGAAGCGACTGCGGAGACCCCGCAGCGCAGGACCGCTTCAGCGAATGTTCCTCGCTTCTTTCTTAGCGTGAGCCTTCCTTTTTCACCAGGATCGTTTGCGCGGATTCACCGCCCTCCCGCGTAAAATGCCGAGACTTGGTGATCTCACCAGGGAACGCGGAAAACGGGCGCTTTGAATTGGAGCGCCGTGATTGGCCGTGGGGAGCAATCCACTGGCCAATCTCCTTGCGAAGCCCAGCAAGGCGGCGGGCCACGGTGCTTGCGCTCAGCAAAGTCAACACGTTTCCCAGCGCGTTTCAGTTTGCCCAGGGCGCCGGCTGACGTCATGGCTTCGTTGTCTTCGAAGTCGCAGGCAGCCGCAACGTGCGGAGCGTTAGGAATGGGATGGAGAGTCTGGCTCATTCAGCCCCAGCCTTTCCAGCTCCAGAGCCCCCAGGCGCCCCGCCAGAACTCGTGCGCGGCCCACCGCGGCCTGCCTGCAATTTGCTATGTATTATCGCTCCGGAAACTACGTCTTTTGTCTTGTTCCCGGCTTTATCGTGCCGTTGCTCTGTCTCCCTCGCGCTCACGGGCGGGTGGTCTTTAGGGGTCCGAGAGAGACGGGGCGACAAAATGCCGTGTGCGGAATCAGTAGTCAGCAGCGTTCCATAAATCGCCGCGGGTGCTACACGACAGTGGCGCCCCCGCCCCGCAACGCACCCAGGACCAGAAGACCGGTGGGGGCGGTCGGTCAAAAGCCCGGACCGGTTTTGTCACTAAGTGGGACTTAAACGATCGTGTGACCCCACCAATGGATTGCTCTCCGAACGAGGAATCGATTGGTGGGGTCACACGTTTGGTTCGAGTCCTTTTGAGCGACTCTGAAGCTCAAAACGCGTCTCGAGTTTTGGCCGCCTGCGCCGGTCTTCTGGCCCACTGTGTAGCCGAAACTACTCACCCGTCATGGTGAAGATGCCGACGAACAGGCCGATGCTCCTGCCCGCCAGCATGACCTCATCCTCCGAGTTGTTGCCCGCCTCCTTCTTGCGCCCGGCCCAGATGCCCACGGCCAGGATGAGGATGTAGAAGAGCACGATGCTGATGAAGCCCGCGATGTTGAAATCCTGCGAGAGGGGCACAACAAACGGGCCGGTGTTTTTAACTGGGTACGAAAAGCGCGGCCGCCAGCAGACGGACGGCGGCGCAGTTTAGAACAGAATTAAACTTTTCCCATTCACTGCCTCGTCAGTTTCGTTGTGGACTAACCTGAGCACCCCCTCCATGGCCGCATCCCCACCCGGCCCCACCCCACCTCGTTCGCAGTGATGCCGAAAAGGGCGCCGCAAAACCACCACAAGAGCCACCCCGAGGGGCCTCCTGGCGATAAATACTCGTCTTTGACTAGGGCAGTTCATTCCCGCCTAATTTGGCAGTGCCCTCGTCGGCATGCAGACCGCGTCCGCGCGTCGCGGGCGCCCTGATGGGGGATCACTAGCGCCCCAGCGGCCGCGTCGGCAGCGGACCTGACGGATGGCCTGCGCGAGCACCAGCCAGCCCAGGGCCCTGCAGGGCCAGGGGGCCTCGGCGGGGTCATTATTTGCCGAGTTGAAAATAACTCTTTCCATTAGGCACGCGAGCTGGGAATAAAGAATAAATGGAATGGCCGCCGCGAAGGCGGTCAGAAATGAAGCGGATTGAAGGGCGGGGCGAACCGGGCAGTAGGCGAGGTCTGTTGGGACGGACAATTAAGTTTAAGGCAACATCGTGGCTTGCCCCTCCTAGGGGAACCATCATGCGTTCGATTCGAGCCCTGCCAGAGGAGGCACCTCGAAAAGTGTCAAGACATGCCCTCCAGGCCAGCATACAGTGTGGCGGGGGAGCCGCTGCCCGGACCAATTTACTGACAGTCTGACTGGAGAGCGCGTTCGTCGCTGTGTCTCTCTCGCTCCCATGCAGGTCGCTCCACGAGTGCCTGCTGCGATGTGTGTTTGCGTTGCAGTGCCGCGGCGATCCCGTTTAATTAGCACAGTGGCCGCCACGGGACGCTTTGCTTGTCGCGCCGTCTCTCTCGCACTCGTGGGGCCCCCGCGGGGGTGCGAGAGAGAGAGAGGCCGCTGGGAGTGAGCCTGTCCGCAGCGAGCAGGGCGCGCTTTGTCCCCGGCGTCCGCGGCGTCCGCGGCGTGCAGGTTGCCCGTCCAACCCCTTTGATCAGCCACCGCGCGCCGCTGCGCCATTCGCCATTTAATAAATTGGACGGGGCCGGAACGCGCTGCCCGCGGCAGGGCTGGGGCTGCAGATTCCGGGAGTCCTTTGGTGTCTCTCTCGCACCCACGCGGAACGCCCCATGAGTGCGAGAGAGACAGAGCGATGCGAACGACTCTCGTTCCCGACGACTCGTACAACATGTCTGACAGCAAGGCCAGCACCACAGCAAAGCGTGGCGGCAGGCTTTCAAACGACAGCGGCGGTTCGCTTTGTGCCTCGCAGACATGAAGCCGATGATTGGCCTCTTTTTCCTCTCCCCCTGACGTCAGCGTGACGTCATAGCCCGACAGGTGCACCGCATAGCAATGGATATTGAAACGTTTGGCCGGCGAGGGCTCGGCCAGAGGCTCGGCTCGGCCAAAGGGCCCAAAGGGGTGCCGAAGGAAGGCTTTAATCCGTCGGTATCGATTGCAGTCGGCGGCGGCAGTCATTCCTAGGGCCAGGTGGACCTCCCTCCCCTCTTTTCCCCGTCCTCGGCAGTGCGACACAGCCAGGGCGCAGCCTCGCCGGTGAATGCACGAAGCCCTGTCCCGGCCAGGGCGCAGCCAGCGTGCTGCACCAGGGGGCCGCGTTGGCTCGCTCAGTAGGTCTGAGTACGGAAGACCGGGCCCGGAAACGCGGTGAAAAAATTCCGCACTTGAACCTCCAAGTAGGGCTCTGACTTTTGCCCGGGTACCCGGGTTACCCGGGTAACCCGCCCGCCCGGGTTGGACCGGGTCCGCGGGTAGACCCGGGTACCCGGGTTTGCGGGTAAACCTGTGGACCAGGGTACCGTCTGCGGGTCTACCCGGAGCCTTGGATCCGCCGCCCTGGCAGTAGGCAACACGCAGTGCGCTCCAGTGGGCCGTGTTGCCTACTGGCAGGGCGGTGGATCCAAGGCTCCGGGTAAACCCGCAGACCCGGGACCCGGGTCCACAAGTTTACCCGTAAACCCGGGTCTTACCCCGGCGAGCCGGACCCGCGGTCCGGGTTTTTAAGAGCTCTACCTCCAAGACCAAGGCGAACTTGGGCGTCTACAGTGTCTTTGTTAAAACACGGACTGACCCAGCGGGCGCCCGAGATCGCCCGAGATCGCCGGGAGGGGAAGGGGGTGGAATCGACCCCTGGCGCTGCCCGCGCGCTGCCCGCGCGCTGCCCGGGGCCCGCGGGCTGCAGCCTGTGTGCCAGTTGAATCGCTCTGTAGCGCCCCTCTGGACCGGCCGAGTGGCCTGTTTTCAAATCGCCCTGTTGAGGTTTCAATTGCTTTGCCGTCCGTGCTCGACTGTGCTCGGCCGTGCTCTGCTAAAACAACCCACACTTCGAAAAAAAAAGTTGTTTTTAAAAAAGGGAGAGAAACTGTTTGGCTGTGGAACAGAACTGTCTGCGACGTGCGACGTCGAGGCGCAGAACGAGGTCAAGTTCCCCGAAGGCCAAAGGACCGCCACGCACGAGGCTCCCCCTTCGGGGTCCCCCCTCGCCCTTCGCAGTGGCGGTGCAGGGAGGGGCCCTTCAGGCCCTTTCCCTTTCGCAGGGACAGGTGGGCGAAGGGCCGCGTGGCCGCAGCCGCAGGGACTCACCATGGCTGCTTCTGCTACCCGCGAAGGTCCTTGAGGTGAGAGAAAAGGACGATGATCCCCCGGTGCGATGCGATGCGATGAGTTCGCACCAAACTTGCCACTCACACGGTCTCACAGTTTTTTCTTCTTCACTAGTCCGTAAAAAATAACTCGTCTTCTCTAATATATATTATTTAAAAATAACAATTATATCCTTTGAACACAACAAGATTCTATCGATTTACAATATTTCTTATGACTGTAGCAACAAACACGCCCTCTCGCTCTCACTCAATAATTATATATCATTTAAACCTAGGACAAGCTAATATTGTTTCTCTAAGCCTAATGTGCGCTGCCGCTTCGCCGCTGTGTGAGTCAGTCGGTTCGTTGCGCGGGGGGCGCGGGGGGCGCGGCGGCGGTCGGAGCGGCCCAGTGGCAGCAGTCGCCCCAGCGAAGGGAGGTCTTCTGAGAGGGGCTGTTCCGTGTCCTATACCCTAGGCCGCACATGGGGGCGGGGGGGACTCATAGGCAGCGCGGGCCTGAGGGCCTTTACTCCGTGGTGCCCAACCTGCAACAAGAAAGCACAAGCACAGTCAGTCTCGGCACTTTTGAAAGAAAAAAGCCTTGATTATTTTCCGCTTCTATTGAGCTATATTTATCGTGTGGTTTGGCCCGTTCCGCCTCTGCTCTCGCGTTTCCGCCACCTGAAGGGCCCCGCGTTGCTGTATTTAATTTTAAGGCGGCGACGTCGAGCGAACACGCGTCACGTGCTCCGATCTGGCGGAAAATGGGCGCCGGGGGGCAAATCGGGAAAGCGGCAAACCGGCGGCAGACTGGTGCCCGAGCTGGTGCCGAGAGTCGTTTTCCGTCCCTCTCGCACTCACGGGGCGTGCCGTGCAGGTGCGAGAGAGACGAAGCGGCGAACGCGGCCAGGAGGGTAATTACAAAGTTGCCGGCGAACGGGAACGGGGCGGCCCCACATGAGTGAATGACACGCCTCGCTGCCGCCACGCCACGTCTAAGCCACGTCTAAGCCACGTCTAAGCCACGTCGCGACGGCGGGCCGGGGCGATGGAATTAAATGGATCAAAAAAGAGGGGGAGGGCGGCAACACTCTGCGCGCACAAATCTTGAGGCGAAGTTGAAGTGACGGTGAAGAACTGTCAGGTTGAAAATTCAAACCGAACGGGGACTAGAAAAGTAGTCGATAGCGTGGGGGAAAATAGCTGAGAAAATGTGGCGCTGAAAGTCATAGGGGATGCCCACGGCGGGACAAGCACGCTGATGAAAACAAACCCTAACCTGTAACAGGCCACAACACTGTCAAGAGTGGGGGTGTCTCAAGGGCCGGGAGGGAAAAGGGTTGAGGGGTGGAGGGGTGGAAGGCGGGGCGGCGCGCTGGCGGGTCAGGGTAGGGAGGATGCGAGCCACCAGGCCTCGGCTAGCCTCGGCGCGCCGAGGGACCGCGACCGTACCGCGACACTGCGAAATGAAAATAGGCTTGCAAATGGTCCGTTCACGGCGTTTACGGGCCATTCCGGGGCACGGACACCACACCCTTTGCTCTGCACTCTGCAGGCCCATAAGGGGTCGTAAATACGCTTCCCGTCTGGCTGCTGTTTTTGTCCCCCCCCCTCTCTCTCTCTCTCGCTCTACCCGTGCGGGTTCAAGGTGGGGGTCCTCCCGGTGGGGACGTGCCTTCTCGAACCCACCCCCGAGAAGGGGACCCCGCGGACGGTCCCAAAACCCCACCATCATCGCAGCCGAAATCGAGAACCGGGAAAATGGATGGCCATAGTCTCGGAGGACAGGGGCCAGGGGGCCAGAGGGCCAGGGGGGCAGAGGGCCAGGGGGCAGAGGGTAGGGGGCTCGCCCCGGCCGTGGGTAGCGTAGAAATCCCAGAGAAACCTTACGTCGTGCCATACATAGGGGCGGGGGCCGCGGGGGCACCCAGTTGACTGGCCGGCACGGCCCCCGCTACGCTGCCGGATTATCGGATTTAGGCAGAATTCCAACGGACGGAGGTGGCGGAGGTGGTTGAGGGGGAGGGGTCGAAGGAGCGGGAGTAATCGCAGAGAAAGAAATCACATTGGAAATGGGGCAGAGGAGGAGGGGCGCCAAGCGACTTGGAGGGAAGTTAGGTTAGGGCGGGGGAGGGAGGGGGAGGGAGGGGGCGTACGCGGTTGGAATGCGATGCGCCGCTCCACCTCAGCCGGGGACGCCACACCAGGCCACACCGCGCCGAGCCGAGCCGACCCAAAGCCCTGTCTCATGGCCCGTCACACGGAGCCACCGCCGCCGCGGCACAGACAGAGACAGACAGCGTGGTGCGAGAGAAACGGCGGCGCTCACACCCCGTGCCGCTCAGCCCCGGCCTTCGGATGGCAATCGGGCGTGTGCAAGATAGCGTTCATCACTGAGCGGGCATTACTGCATCACAGAGCCTTTAGAGCGGGGGTCATCTCCATGCTGCTCATTAGCTGCAACGGCATCCCCTGCTCGAGAAGCTCTAGCGCAGGAATGAGAGGGGACAACGCCGCTACACTGTCATCCAGAGAATGTGACGTCATATTCGTCACAACGTGACATCGTGTTCAAACGAATGAGACGTCATGACGTCACATTGGTGGAATGCAGTCTCTGTCTCTCTGCGCTCGGCAAGTCGCCCTCGCTACCGCCGGGGCAGCACGCCTTATTGATGGAAGCCAACGGCGTAGACGCGAGGCCAAACCGCGAAACCGCGGACGCATCAGGGCGCCGCCCCCCCCCCCCCCCCCCTCGCCGCGGGGGGCAGCGGCGGGTCAGGCCCTGACGATGACGTCACCGAAGGGGCTGGCGCTCGCTGCGCTGGCGGAGGCAACGTCTGGTTTGCATTTTTGTGGGCCACGGGCTGCCAAGGGGTGGTCGGGGTGCCCAAAGGTGGGGGTGGCTTGGGCGGGGCGGTGTGCCAAAGGTCAGACCGCCGCGCCGCGCGCCGTGCGCCGTGACCGCGTGTGTAGCACGCCAGCAGGGCCAGCAGGGCCAGCAGGGCCCGGGCCAGGCAGTCTGGATCAATGGAGGCGAGGCGTCCTTTCTGGGGGCACCGGGGCGGGGGGAGGGGGGGGCGCTCCCCGGGAGCGGGAGCCTGGCGATGAGCGTCATCCCGCCGCGACGAGGCTCTCCGCCGGGCGCGTGGCGTGGGAGAGCTGGGAGAACTGGGAGAGCACCGAGAGCACTGAGTGCGGCCCACGCCGCGCGGTGGCCTGAAAAATGACCCGGCAGTTTGGCATTTGGAAGGGGGCAGGTGTCCGGGTGACGGGAATAGACGCGGCCGAAAGGTTACGCGGCAGGGCCACTGGAAGCTCGCGAATGAATAGCAACTGATAAACGCATTGGCGAAGAAACGCGCTGGAAGAGACAAGGGGCACACGCGGGGGACTCGCACGTGGGCCGGCGGGGGGAGGGGGAGGGGTGGGGGTGGGTCGCCAGTTCGGGTCACCTGGTGGGGGGACAGCGGCCTCACTTCTGGGGCCGTTTCCGTGGATGGGCAATCCTCGGCGTGATTTTCCGCGACGACAACCGGGGCCGTGAAACGTCGGAGACAGCGACACACACAAACAGGAGCACAGCGTACGCAGAGACACTGGCACGCCCAGCCGCAATCGCCGACCCAGGCCTGCCTCAACCAACAGTGGCGCGGCGGGCAGTACGGGGGCGGGTCAAACGAAATCGGTGCGATAACATTAACTCACCTCAACCCCGCCGCGGTGCAGCGCCGGCGGCACACACTCTCACACTCACTCGCGCGCACACAGTGTGCCACACACACACGCGCACGCACACTGTCGCACACAGACGCACTCCGAGGCGCCGCGACGCTCTGCGACGCTCTGCGTGGTCGGCGTCGTGCAGGGTCGCGTGGCGTCGCGGGGCGCTGCGACACTTGGAGCAGCAGTCCGGTCCGGGCCCCAACGCGCGGACGACTACCGACACCGGGGGGGCTGCCGGGGGCGGGGGTGGGGGGCGGCCGGGGGCGGCTCGGGGGCGGAAGGACCCCATCGGGCCTGCAGGTAGCCAGCCCTCTCTCCGACGCCGTGCTCCGCCGCCCCGTGCCCCCCGCGGCCTGTCTCTCTCGCACCGCCGTGCTGCCCCATAGGGGGCTCTCACTCGACCCGTGACCTCGACTGGCTTGGGTATACCCACCCGTGTCCGCGCGGGGGGCGGCGCGGGGGCGGCGCGGGGGCGGCGCTAGGGGCGGGCTCTGGCTGCGCGGCTCGAGGGGTGGGGGCGCGCGCTCGGCCGGCCCGGCCTCTCGTATTGATTGTCGGCGGGGTGGGCCCCGGTGGGGTGCGGCGCGGAGAGCCCCCATTGGGGCGCAGCTCCAGGACCCGCCGCCGCGTCCGCCACTCACAGCCCGGCTGGGGCCCCCGCAGCCCCGCGCCCCCACCACGCCGCGCAGCGCGCCGCCGCCAGCGCCAACCCGCGAGCGCGCAGCTGCTAGACAGCGCGGCGTCCGCGTCGCGGCTCCATTCCGTCCACTCCGCGGAGGGAGGCCCCGAAGGGGTCCCGAAGGATCCCTGCAGGATTCCCGTAGGATCCCTCGAATGATGACCGAAGGGTTCCCGGAGGATGCCTTGATGCTACCCGAAGGGTTCGCGCTGGGTTCCCACTGGGCTCGCCAACGGTTCCCGAAGGATTCCTCCTTGTCTTCGAGCCTAAAGCGTGTTGAGTAGTGAGCAGACTAAGCGCAGCCCCTTGCGTGCCGCCGTAGACACTTTGACGAAGATGGTGTCGGTCAAGTTGAAGCCTCGGGGTGGGAAACTCATGGCATGCTCATGGCGCAGCGCGACTTAAGTTGTTTGAAGTGTTGGAAGGGTACGGGCTTCCCGCCACATCCCGCCGCGCGAGCCTCGCCGTCAGCACCCACCCTACGGTCCCTGCGGCCTACGGCCAAGCCTACGGCCCTGCAGGATGAGAGAGGCACCACCGGAGGAAGTGAAGACAAAGTGCCACGATAAGTCGATCAATGGCAACATGAAGATGTGTCCCGTCTGCCTGTTGTCTCGACTAGTGCCAAGCTAGTGCCCCAGTCCCGCCACCCCCACCCCCTCGCCTCCCCCACTCTCGCGCGACCCTCAACCTCCCCATTCATAACGCAGCACTACCCCCACCTGCCCCTTCGCAGCCAGAGCACAAAGACTCGAAGGGGCCGGTGTGTATAGCACCCTCGAGGACGTCGACACATTAGCCGTGCGGCTAAGGCAGTGGCTTCATGACACGAAGGTCGAAGGTTCGTTTCAGGATCGTGTCTCCAAGTTTTTCCTCTCGATTTTGGCCGAGCGAGGCGCCCGCCGACCCGAAATGATGAGGCCCATTCCCCGGAACAGCCAGTAGCAAATAGCGGACGCACGGGGTGTGGTAGACTGAGTGTGAGAGTCCGACATCTCTCCGCTCTCGGCCAGAAAGAGCTGCGCGGAGTGCGGAGAGCGCCGTGGGAGTGGGCGACCCGGCTGCAGCCGCGCGTGCTGGTTGCCCGCCCCGCAGGCGCTCTCTGCGGCGCAGCGCTCACCCTCGCTCTCTGGGAGATTCAGCGAATGCTCGCCCCGCCCACGCTCTGCGTCCATCCCTCGACTTTGCCACGCTTTGCTTTCGCTGCAGAGGCACGGGACGGGCATCCCGAGTCTCGTTTTCGAGGTGGGCGTCCAGCGTCAGAACGTGCAGCCCCAATGAAGTTGCCTGAATCAATGCGAGGGGAGGGGGAGGGAAGGGACAAGGGGCGAAGAAGTTTGGGGCACGTTCGGGTAGTGCCTCGGCCCTCGGGCATATTCCACCCACAGGCAGGCCTCTGCGGCTGTGGAGCCTTGCGGCTGATTTGTCCACCAGCGCGCGCGCATCGTTTTGTCCCCGAGGTACACGACGTACGCGTGGTCTCCGTGTCGACTCATTTTTTCCGGTTCGCAGCGAGGCCGTGGTGTCGCGGTCGCCTCGGGGCTGCTAGGCGGCTAGGCTGCGAGGTGGTTGGCGGGGTGGTGTCGAGGCGCGGGACTAAATCTTTGTTAGGATGGCTCGGCGTAGAGCCTGTGGCCTGCCCTGCGGGGGCGGGGCGGCCAGGTCCGTGGCAGGCCGCCAGCAGCACTAGCGAGGGAGTTGCGGCGACGGGCTGATTACGGAGTGTAAAAAATTGGCAGCATTAGTCTACATTATCGTGAAGTTGCGCGCGAGGGTCGAAGTGTCTGCCACAGGGGGCCCTGCCGCCCTGCCCTGTCCGAAGGGTAGGGACAGGGACTGGCCCAGGGTAATTGAGTCATGCAGATGGAGGGGCAGGCGTTTCTCACGAAGCAATGTCATGGCAGACTCTATTTAAGAAGAATTCCAATCTATTGTATTGTCTCATTTATTTATGAAAGTTGGGTATCAGAATTCAATCTCTTTTTCCGCAGTGCTTGTGCGGCTAGTTGGAGACGTAATGTGGCTTCCTCTTTACCAATGTTGTCAATCAGTTCAGCCACAGGAGGGCCAGCCTAAAAAGTTAAGAAAATTAACACATAAAAAAACAATTATGTAAAAAGTAAAGTTTCTTCACTTTTAAAAATTTGACTAAGATTCTTTACCTTAAGACCGCAAAGGGCAGCACGCAAACTTTTCATAGCAGAACGGTAATTGAGGTCTACAGATTTGCAATGGTTCTTAATGGCCTCTGCAAAGCTGCCCTTATCTGTGATATTTACTTTGGGGATACAGACTGAGGCTTCCTCCAATACACCTAGAAAAATCATTTGGTTCTTTCAACACACAGATGTAGGTTCAATGAAAGCAACAGCTCCAAAAATAATCTTACTTGCAAATTTTTCAGGTGAATCCTTTACAGTTTCTAGTAGAAGTGTATGAGATGGTTTAAACCAAATGTATTTGAGGTCATCACCAATAAAGTCCTCTAAGCGAGACATTCGAGGCAACCCCCACTGAAGTAATCTGATTAAATTGGCATCTGATAGAGTAGGAGAATTTGGTGATAATCTACAAACAAATCAGGAGAACAAAGAATAAAATGCAATTTTGAGCCCAAATCCAGAAAGCATGATGGAAATAAGCTGCTTACTCCCCGTTGTTCTTCTCAAGAACTAGATTCCTCAGTTGTCTACACAGAAGTTTTAAACTTTCTGGGTTTTGTAGCTTCCTATCCAATTCCAATCGATTCAGCCGTGTTAATCTGTCTAGATCAACTTTACATGAGCTTGTATGCAGGGAAGAAAAATTAAACTGTTGAACGAACAAAACCATTAAACAGAGAAGAAACAATTTCAGGAGGAATAAATTTATCTGAATAATATCACTTGGAATGCACCTGTTTGATAAGATCTTGCATGGTGTAAACTGTGGCCTCACCACGTTCTCGAATGAATCCTCCCCCAAATTCTGTGACAAAACTAAGTAATACTTCAGGAAAAACACCAGTTTGTTTGAAATGCTGAACATCGATATCCCCCTGACGCTTAGATAGTTTGGTGCCATTACTGTTCATGAGCAGCGGCAAATGGCCAAACTGTGGAGGTTTCCATCCAAAAGCTCTAATGAAGAAAAACGAGAGAGAAATGCACAGTTAAAAACCGCTTACAGAAAAGACAGCTATTATAGCGGCATCAAAGTTCAAACTCAGGTACTCACCTATATAACTGTAAATGCTTTGATGTTGAGATCTGCCACTCCACCCCTCTTAAAACATGTGAGATTTCCATTAGATGATCATCAATTACACATGCTAAGTGATAAGTGGGGAAACCATCACTCTTCAGAATAACAGGATCCCCTTCAATTGAAGCTGTATCTAGGACTATTTTTCCATACACAATGTCTTCAAACATATCAGGACCAGCCTCCAACTGAAATACAACATAATATGAACTAATATAATTTTTTTTATTAAAAGAAAATTAATTACTGTAAAAGACACTTACTTTGAAACGTATACAATGTGTGGTTCCTGTGGAAAGTTTTTCAGCTATTTCATCAGAGCTCAAACTGCGACAACGATTGTCATAACGAGGCACAGCTCCCCTGCGTACAGCTTCTCGTCGCAAAAGTTCAACACGTTTGTCAGAACAGAAACATCGATAAGCAGTGCCATTCTCAATTAAACGGTTCGTATTGTCTCTGAATATATCAGATGAAATTAGAAATCCATGGAACACATTGCTTTAGTCCATTATTCATTTTTCATTAGAAAGCCTAGCATACCTGTAGTGGTCAAGTCTCAGAGATTGAACGTAAGGACCATAAGATCCACCCTTTGACGGACTTTCATTGGGTTCAATACCCATCCACAGGAGGTCACTCTCTATAGCTTCTGATGCACCTGGAACAATTCTCGTCTGATCTGTATCCTCTATCCTTATGATAAAGTTTCCTGCATTTGCTCGAGCAAATAGAAAATTGTACAGAGCTGTTCGGAGACCTCCAAGATGTAAACGACCTGCAAAATGTATTGTCAGTCACCGATCAGTTTAAGAGATATTTTTAAAAATAAAGTTCAATTTCTTACCAGTAGGACTGGGCGCAAATCTCACTCTCACATCACTGCTAAGATTTCTGCTAAGTTTAATGGAAAAAGCTGATATCATTCTTGAAGACTGTAAACAGAAACATAACCCACTGAATGAAATAAATCCATTTAAACAAAAACAGAATGGGATGCCAACTTAAAATGAACCGCACATTCATTTCTTCGGACCAAATGACACAAAATAAAGACGTCAATCAGAGTTCTGGACAAAATGATTCAATGAAACCATAAAACATGCATTAAATACTGTGCTGTCGTCTGCTGCGTACTATGAAAAGTTTATGTGCTACTGGAGTACGAACGAAGAGTACGAGAAATTGAGAGTGGGAACTTTATTGTTTATGTTTTTGCTAACTACCGATTTCCTTTATTTCATTCCATTATGTACGTGAATTTTACTTTGTTTTTTGGGACAACCTTGCTCACTGTGATGGCGTCCTTTTCATCAGTAGTCGTAAAATACGTGAGTATTGTGTATCATAACTTAGCTTCAGAGATACTAGGTTATATACCTATGTTTCTGTCTGTCGACATTACTTTATTTGAAGTCTCATCGTCTTATCATGGTTTACATATGTACCTCAAATTATTATTTTTAACACAGACAACACGTTTCTTTTCATTTTGCCAATTCCAATAATTCATTCGTATTATGCGTTTATGTTTCTGCTCCAGACACTCAACGCTATTTTCCAAGAAACCAATCATTTGAGGGACATTCGAGAAGAAATATCTGCAGTTCGTACAGAAATGTCAAAAATTTCGATGATGGATGAGTTTGCCAAACACGCTCGTCTTCAAAGAAAGCTCATTAAGTTGCAGGATGAACTGAAATCAGAAAGTAAGTTTTTCCTTTATCCAAATTTACTTATGTCTTTTGGTTTTTGATTTCAATTATATTTTTTTAAATGTCTTTTATATTTTTTCAGAAATGATAGTTTCGAGTACAAAACTGAAGTACAAAGTCTTAATAGGTTCAGGGGCCTATGTATCAATGGTATGGTATCCAGCATATTTCAAGTAAATATCAACTTTCTATTATTTTGTTTTTTTTAAGTGTTCATGGTTTTCTTGCAGGGACTTGGTATGCTTCTTATGGCATACGTGTTTCGCTCTGAGCCAGTCTTGATTTTGCCTGATAAGTGGCTCTCACCTTTCTCATGGATTATATCGTGGCCTTGTGAATTTGAAGGGGCAGTGAGCACTCTCTTCTGGATATCCGTTTGCGGATCTGCATCGCGGCTTGTTGCTTCCAAATTTTGATTTGGGGTTTGTGAATGACTTATCAAGACTGACTGTTGAGTCCTCTGTGACAAGTTTTACATTTTGTTAATTAAAAATATCTGCCTCAGTTACTGGTGGTATTCACTTTTTAGGTGTGTTCTCTTGTATACTTGTCTGGATCAACTTTTTTGTCTATAGACAAAAGGTAAACCTGACATACAAAGGGGGCCGGGAGACCGTCGATACCCCATGTGCCTTGGGAAGACACCGTGCCACACATGGGGTATCCCCGGCCTCTGAAACGGCATGGCGTCATGGGGTATCTGCGAGCAGGAGTAGGAGCCTGGGCTGGCTGGAGGGTATATGCAAACTTCGCCCTTTTGGACAGGGATTGATTGGCTCAAAAGCATTGGTAGATGGCGACTCAAATATGCCACAGGAGTGAGTTCCAGTTAAGTACAGCCCTCTGAGGATGGATTCCTAAAAGTTCTCTTCCATTATGAAAGGTGTATTCAGATGAATAGAAAAGGGCAAAAATGACAAAAACAAATTGTTTATCCAGACCATTTTTAAAATTCTTTATTTCTTGCATTGTTCACACCATCATCACTGTTCAGAGTCAGATCATTTACTACTTATCTGCTAGAAAAAAATGCTACTTTAGAACAAAAGAACATCACAAGAAAAGTTCTGAATGTGTCATTAAATAAAGTTGTCAAATGTGACTGTAATATTGAAAGATGTTGTGCTCCATCAAGTAGCTCACTCTGAAAACTAAACATAAAACACATGCGAGATGCTTCAGAACTGATAAAACAGTGACTTGAATTCACTTGAGGTCGTCCTTAGCCCCAGGCAACTTTGAGCCAAGAGGTGGGAAAAAAAGGGAAAAGGCGACTGTGCTTGTTGCGCCTGTTATCCTGTGTGGATCAAAGTTATGTGGCATGAACTAACATTGACTTATCAATTCTGAAGCATCCGATACAGAAAAAATAATAACATGAAAAGCTTTTGAAATAACATTCATTCAATCGAACAACAATATTAAAATAATCATTTAATACCCAGAGCAACTTCTCTTGTATATTCGAGAAGCAAAATTCCTTTTCACATCACTTCAAACAGAAGTTGAAACTGGCATCACAAGCATATAACAAAAACAACACAGAAATTTGCTTCTACAAGCATCAATTAAGCAAAATAATCAGTTCAAATCTTAAATATCAAATATCACACTATATTCCTTAAAACAAAACAGGAAAGAAAGATACAGTTAAGCAGAGCTCTCAACCAATCCTAAAAAGCAATACAGAGAAAAAAGTTGTTAAACACAAATTGTGCTGGTTTTAAAAAGAAATCAATGATTACATTACATAACAGAGAGTAATTTACCTGTGCAGTAATCAATCTACTCATAGCATTCTGGAATAAGAAGCTTCAAAAACTTATGGCAGCAACATAATTGTCAGTCCCCAAGGGAAACATCTTAAACAATCTTCATGGCACCTTTGACTAGCTGTAAGCCGCATCTACTAAAAATCTGCTTATACTTTATACAAGGATTAAACAATTATGTACATAGCAATAAATTAATCCATCAAAACTTAAAAAGACAATAAACATGGAACAAATTTTTAAGTTCATTAAACAAATTTGCACAATAGCAAAAATGAAAGAAAAAGCCCTTGTGTTTGACTTAAATGAATGACAAATAGCATGGCATACAATTTAGAGTCTCATTTGCAACTCTAAAACTCTAAAGTGCTATTTACAGAAAAACAAACAAATTATATGTTATAGTTAAGAAACCTACAAGAAAGTGACTTAATTAAGGAAATCATTTTGAAATACCGGTAAATCATCTTATTGTAAGATAAAAGTAAATGTTTATTTTTAACTGGCACAATACTTAAAGCAGTGTGATAGTAAAAATGATAACAAAATTGAGTTCTGCACTGCTTAGTTTTCAATCAATCGCACAGCACTTAAATCTTAAATGAAAGTCACTCAACAAGAAGGGATCTAATTTAAGTATGGTTGAATGTTCTCTCTGCAAACTAGAGGTAGGGCAACATACACAACTAACAACTTTAGTTTCCCTGCAGACGTAGAATTTGTTTGAAAAATATTCTGAATGTTTAATGTGAAGACAATTTATTTTGACTGGGAATAGGCCATTCCTCACAACATGTCACAGCTAGTGTCTGACGTTGCCTTAAAATTTGTCATGGATTGGTCACCTAAATCTACTTTTCCACAACATTCTAAAAATGGAAAGCTTACACATTTAACATTCTAAAACATTTAATTGACCCACATGGCTATAAAGATCAACCATGGTAAAATTAGTTTTTACCACCACATGAGTAACTATTATGACCAGATTCAAGTTCAGTAAAAAATATACAGTAGTTGTGATGTTCACATTTCCTTAACACCTCCACTACAATTTTAGATGATACACTAGAGAGAGAACCTTTACAAAAGAGCTTTAACACAGCTCTCGTAGATTCTTTTCCTACTTGTGGTATTAGTGGTATGTACTTTTATCGATTTCCAAATATCGGAAAGTAAAAACAATTCAACTTAAAATTACCCTATATGGAGGCGTACATGATGCTTTCAACTTAATGTACAAACAAGCTACTTGTAATGCACATTAAAATAAATATAGAATGTACAAATACGAATCTTATAAATATGACGCTGAAAAGTTACACAAAACCTTTCTTATGACTTAGACCTTCTCAAGTTGGACACAGAACTGAAAAAGAAAATATACAAAGTATTAGAAATCAACAAGATTGTAGAAAAGTCAGCTGCAGGTCAGTTTTTTTAAATGTTGGGGTTTTTAAAGTTGATACTTACCTTTGAGAATGTAGTCAGTGAGAAGGGCAGGGACTGTAGGGCTGTCTTCATTTATAGCCTTCAAAACTAGAAAAATAAATTCAGACCAAGTTAGATGGTGCTTTGGGATCCAGTTATAGAGAACAAAACAAAAATGAACTTTCATCATAACTTACTTTTAATTAGAAATTGAAGTGCCTGCCCTGTAGGAGGACCACCACCCATGTGGTATGGAATCACAGTTGTCAGGTACTGGAAAGAAAATATTTTTATTTACTTAATAATATTTACCTCTTTCTTGAGGTCAGCGAATGCGATTTAATTTGCATTGTGTACCTTTGATTCTGCTGAGCTGGGAAGACGTCCAACACCATTATTCCGACTGTTACGTTTCTTGTCCACATGGTGCTGTCTCCGCCTGTTTTGCACAGCTAGGAGCAAGGAGATGAAAGAATTCTTGAGTTCTTTTTCTTCTTCTAGCTCATCCCGTAACGCCAGCTCATGAATCAGTGTTTCAGAAAAGTCTCGAATGAGAACCTCAAGCTCCAGATATAATTCGTTCAGCTGGGAAACACTTAAAGTCTTTAGCTCTGCAAAGGGAACAAAACAGCAATTAGTAAAAATTTGTTTCAATTGGCTCGTTTCTGTACACTGAGAAGTCAACGAAGTCGACCTACTTTCTTCATACAAGGGAGACATCAAGACTTCCTTGCCTTTCCGCTCATTCTCATCAAGGAGGGACTCCTCCGAACCATGAGACAATTCATGTGAGGGTGTATCCTGGGGAAAAAGAAATCATCGTATTTGAGTCTTCAAAAACTTATGAATGTGAAAAGGCACATGGTCAGTGGGCCACACAGTGTGCCGGTTGCGTTACCTGCATCATGTCGTCGATCTCTCGGATCACCTCCTCGGCCGTCTTGACGGGCTCCGCGTCGGCGTGCAGCCCCGACAGGATGAGGGAATGCATGTCCAGGTCGCTCGCCACCGCCTCGTCCTCGGAACTCAGGTCAGCCTCGCCGTCGTCCTGGGTGGAGTCCTGAAAAACCATCAAGGTGTTTGAAAATACTGTAACGCCAGTGAATGGGGCTTATGGAAGGAGAGTTCGGTTTGTTTGAAAGGCCTTGGACTTGGCCGTGAGGGCGGGAGTGCGTGGGGGCGGACGGGCCGACTCGCATACGCCGGGGAGGGGAGGGGAAGGGGGAAGCCTCGACAGTGATGGGTACCAGTCACAGTGCAGCGTAAAAATAAGTTGGGCTGGAAATGGAGCCTTCATTTGAGGGAACACAAGGCACCATGTCGTTCTGGGACGTTCGCGGATGGCCACCGCACCCCCCACCCCACACCCCACCCTCCGCAGCTTCAAGGACGTTGTGATCGTTGTGATCCTGCGGGGGGTGGCAGGTTTCGGTGGGGGCGGCGGGGTGGGGTTGGAATGGCAACACACTGCGGTCTGGGCCTGTGGGGCTTGCTTGGGTAGGAAAACCTATGTTGCTGTCGCAGGGCGGTCAACACAGTCCGCTAAAAAAATAAAAAAAATGCCCCGAACTCACAAACTTCCCTGGTTCATTTTACCCACCTTGCACTCGTTGAGGTTGAGCGCCGGCATGTGGAGTTTCCGCGCGCACGACTTGGACCAGTCGATGGGGAGGATGTTGCCGAAGTTGCCCGTGATGGTCCACCACATCCTGAAACACAACGACGGCACACGTTAACGCTAGGCCGCTGCAGGCAATCCACGACACAAAGTTCCGGCGGCCGGAAAGAAAAAGATGTATCGGGTTCGGAGTTCGGTGTCGGGGATAATGGATGTGATTTATTCGGTCCCCTAACACGCGCTCCGCGGGGGCAGTCGCTCCGGGGGTGCGAGAGAGACGGAGCGACTAGCCGCGCACGCGACAAGGAATGAAGGGGAATGGGGAAGGGCCGGGGAACGGGAAACGAAGCAACAAACGGGCGCCCTTTTCGGCGGGGATCTGTCAGCGGACTGATTCCGCACTGTAGTTTGTTCGTCGCTCTGTCTCTGTCGTCCTTGCCGGGTGGCGCGCAGGCCTGCGAGAGAGACAGAGCCACGAAACACTGCTCGGAACTCGGAATCAGTCCGCTGCCTGCTGCCTCCGGGCCGGGCCTGCATCGACTTTCTGTCTGGTGGCAATTCCAGAGACGAGAAACGCACCAAACGCACTGCACCAAGCGACTCGTCGAGGGAACGAAGTGCAGGATGACGATGTCCACGTCCTGGCCGTCACCAAGGTCCCCCAGCGAGAGACCCGCCCCCTAGCCCGCCCCCCGCTGTCACCCACGTCATTTGCTCGACAACCAGCCCTGCCTGATTACAGGGCGGTGTGCCCGTGTGGGGACGGCGAGGGTATCGCGTATCAACCTGCTTGCCCAGGGCCCACGGCAGGGCCCACGGCAGGGCGGGGATAGCGAGGGCTATGGCTATGGCCGGCGGGAATCTTTTAATTGGATTAGCACCAGCATGGACGGGCCTTGCTGTTGTTGTTGGTTGCTCGAGGTGATCCAGTTTGATGAATGGGCAGAGCGGCCACCAATTAGGCTCAAGGGGCGTCGTCGTGGGGGGGGGGGGCACCAGGGGGCAGCTGGCTCTGTCTCTCTCGCACCCTAGCGGGACGCCCCGCACGCGTGCGAGAGAGACAGCGACGACAGCCTCACCGGGCGGCGGGCTGAGACTGGCTGGGCTGAGGATGCGGGCATGACCTCAGAAGCCCCGTGCCGTACCGAGGAGAAGGGAAAGAGGGGGTTAAAATCAATTTAATTAAACAGGATTTCATAAGCCCCCAGGCGCGGAAATCCCAACCCAAGGGAAAATCACTTTCGAAAACTGTATTCCCGCCTGCAATACTTGATCCCACCCTCCTTGCGAGGCAGGCAGTGTCGCAGACACCGCTGCATCTGGGGCACTACCTCGCCGTCGGCAGGCCGGCAGGGGTTCCGAGGCTGCACTCGGACACGTCACCATGGCGACGCTGGCAATAAAGCACGTTAGCGGGCCGATTCCGAGCGTCGTTTCCGTCGCGCTGTCTCTTTCGCACTCATGAGGCGTCCCGTGAGGGCTCGACAGAGGCAGCGACGGAAACGACCCGGTACCAGCCTGCTGGCCAGCCCATATTTTTTGGCGAGTGCCGACGGGATGAGAATGCCGAGGCGCCGGCCGGGCGCGCAGTGCGGGGCGGGGCGGGGGTCCCCTGGCGGGGCTCTGGCTCTGGCCAGTACAGTGGAGGTGTGTCGGCGCGGCGGGCCATCGATTTGCACCGGGGAAGGGAAGGCAGGGAGGAAGGGGTGCGGCACGGCGAGTGTGCCGATGTAGTGGTACCACTGCCTACTAGCGGTGCCTCGGTGCCACCTGGCGTGGCGTGCCCCGGCCGTGGCGTGCCTCCAGCATCGACCAATCAGGACGCCGCAATGACGGCATGCCCCAGTTCGGCCAAACTTTTGAGCCATCCGAGTCCCAGTCCCCCTCGGCGCATCCTTCTTCCTCTTCCTCGCGAGGCTGCTTTTCATCAAGGCGGCCTGCGCCACGGCTCTGCAACGGCACGGCGTGGAGGCCGCGGCCGGGAGCACGTCCCGCCCCCGCCCCTCCGCCCCGCCATGGCCCCCACCGGCCGTGCCTGCCTGGCCTGCCGGGGCCCCGGGGGTCGAATGTGTCTGTGTTCCCCTGGAGCCCCACGAGTACGAGTAGCACGACACGGGTAGACCCGCTGCGGCAACGGCCGCCAGGAGACTCCAGGACTGTTTCGCCATAAAGAAAGGACGTAGAACGGCCGGGCGATCCAGCGCGCTGTCTCTCTCGCACCCTTGCGGAGTGCCCCATGAGTGCGACAGAAACAGAGCCGGTTGTATAAAATCGGCTGGTGACTTAGGCGCGCCCCCTCATTACACAAAGTTGCCTCCTGTGCGGCGTGCGCGGCGGCAACGACGGCGTGGTGCACCGCAACAGGCTTTTGCGGTGCAGCGGACAGACCGCGCGGTGGACGGTGGACAGCCTGACGGCCTGCATCGCCAGCAGCGCCCCCGCGGTGGTCAGCCGCCTGCACCGCAGGAGACCGCCAGTGCATAACAGCAGCTGACTCTCTCGCACCCACGCGGGGCGTCCCATGAGTGCGAGCGAGACAGGGCGAGGACGGCGTAGCGGAGTGAGGGTGCACACAGCCCGCACTCCCTGGACTCGAATACAGTATCGAGCCCCACGCCAGGCAAGGCCATGCAGTGTTGGCGATGTTGGCAGTGACACTGGGCGGCCTGGCTGGGCCCGGCCTCCCCAATGCAGGCTAACCCTCTGGGCTAACCTTTAGGCCACGTTTAGGGACGCCACTGGAAAAGTCGCGGCGACCTTTAGGCCGGGTGCCTTTAGGCCGCTGGCTCTGCACTGCCGGCACTGTGCTACCCCCCTCCGACCTTTCGCTCTCTCGAATGAGTGTTCCGCAGTCGCTCTGTCTCTCTCGCACCCCAGCGAGCCGCCCCGTGGGTGCGAGGGAGACAGAGCGCACTGCTAGTTCGTAAGCGGCTCGGCGCCGGCCTGGAAGTGAGATGCGCGTCCAGCGCCGGCCGGGCCTTCCCCCGGGAACAGACCCTCCGTGTCGTCGTCGTCGTCGCCGTCGTCCGAGTCGACCACCACGCCACCGGCGGAAGGGGCGATAGTCTTATCTCGCTTGGCCGCCAAGCAGGGCGCGACGCAGGTGTGCGTCACGGGGTTCTTTGTCTCGGCCGCGCGGCCCCGCCCTCGCGAACGCGACGCGAACCGCGACCAACACGCCGGCCTCCACGACGGCGTGGCGGACCGCGCAGACTCCAGCTAGACTCCAGCAGCCCACCGGGAAGAGTGACCCGCTCAGACATGCAGCGATGCAGAGCCAGCGGCCGGCCGGCCCACGCTGTCCCGACTTAGCATGCCGATCCCGAGCAGCGTCTCTCTCTCTCTCTCTCTCTCTCTCTCTCTCTCTCTCTCTCTCTCTCTCTCTCTCTCTCTCGCAGAGAGAGGCAGAAGCACTTGCAGTGGTGGCCAAAGACCAATGACAGCCGTGGGCCGAACGGGACGTCTCATGGCGACACCGCTATCTGATCCAAGAGCCAAGCACCGCGCCACATACATGCCACATGCCTCTTGCGCTTGATGTTGTTGTTGTTGTTGTCCACGTCGCCGGCCAGCCTCAAATTCGGCGCCGCCAATCCCATCGCGTTGCCCGACAGACGACCGCGTGAATAATGGATGTCGGCCAGGCACGGGCAAAGGCAGCGAGTTCGAGTGGTTTGGTCCAGCATAATCGATGCGGACCAATCGGCACAAAGGGTTGGCCAAAGGTCTGGCCAAAGGCCTGGCCAAAGGCCGGGACCCCAGCAGCGGCCAGCTCATTCCGAAAAGTGCTGCTGCCTCACTCGCACCCGGGCGGAGCAGCGGAGCGCCCCGCGAGTGCGAGAGAGACAGCCTGCTGGCCGCAGCGGTCTCTCATCTGCGAGTCAGGGTCGCCCCCCGCTTCGACCTCAGCAAACCGCGCGCCCCTGCCCGGCCCGCCGCCAGGCCACCCCCAATACACGTCGCTGGTGCAGCCCGTCTGACAAAAGACGGGCCAACCCCAACGAACACAGCACGGCGGCGTGCCCCGCCCGCCGCTCCGTGGCTCAGACATTCGCTGTGCCTCTCAGCCTTCTCCTCCTCCTCGCCGTTCCGGCCGTGTCCGTGTCCCTCCTGGCGTTCCTGGCGGAGCACCTCGGGCAAGGCCGCTGACGAGGTGCGGGGGTGGGGCGGGGCGGGGCGGGGCGGGCGGAAAGGTTAAACCAAGCAATCTCGCCTCGTCCATGCAAATGGAGCGAGTCGGCGTCGTCGACGCACACGTGCCGAGGACCGCGTCGACGGCTCCCCGCTAATGGCGGTCAGAGAGATGAGTTTCTTCTCCGCGCCGTGTTTCCAGTGGGCTATGCAAATGAGGGGAAGGGCCTCTTCCCTTCCCCCGACGGCGCTGTCCGCCCCATGCTGGCCATCGTTGTGCCCCGGCGCCTCGGTCAAGGTCTAGGCGCAGCCTGTAAGCCCCAAAGCCAATAAGGCTCGGCTGTCGCCGCGCTGTCGTCTCGTCTGTCGCCTGGCGCCCCGTCCCGCGCCTCGTAACGGCAAGTGCCCCGACGGGGTGTCCGGCCTGCTGGCCTGCCCGTTCACCGCACCCAGAAGGCCATTCGAACAGCGGGACGCCGTCGAGGAGGCCCCCAAAGGAGAACAACACCTGCTCCACGTCTCGGCGGCACGATGCCCTTCCGTCTTCCCTCCCCCGCTCTCGCCTTCCGTGCCCCGAAGCGGATCGGGTTCGAGTCCCACCAGGGGGCGCTTTGGTCCTAATTACCCCCAGCGGAGTCTCGTGGAGCACCGCGACGCGGCGTGGAGGGATGACGTCAGCGCGTTCTATTTCAGACGCACCCAAAAGGCATGCCATGCCTCGGGCATGCCCCAGTGGCGCCAGTCCACGCGGACGAGCAGAGGGACCGCGTCGGCGAGGGCCCTACCCGGGGCGCGGGGCCTGAGGCCGCCGTCGTGGCGCTGTTACGTTACAGGTGGCTGCTGTGACGGCACGGCGAAGCAGGCGAGGTCGATCAAGTACATGGACTTCCAGGCGCTTCCAGGCACTTCCAGTGGCTGCTCCGCCGCCCCCCTGGAGGCCCCCTGGAGGCCCCCAGAGGGTCGCGA